GGTACCACCTCAGGAAACCTCCAGTTCTGCTTGTTAGATCACCGATCGTCGCCTGATGAGTTCCGACATAGGCAGTGAGCTGCTCCTGCGCAGTTCAAGCAGTTCAAGCAGTCAACCGAAGAAATGAATCCGTGTGTAAAATCAAATTAATGTATATATATATATATATACATAATATTATACATACGTATAGTACGTATATACATGATGTGTGATACTACATATATACATGTATTATATTCATGTATTCCGTTTACACCTACAAACATGTATATGATTATCCCCATGAGAAGTCGCCAGATATGCGCCTTTTACCAAGGTCCAGCCATTCGACTCCTCTCTTTGGGAATCTATATGCCACAAATCACCTAAAAAAATACGCCATGTCGTGGGGTCAAAGGGAATGATTGGTGTCAGTGTGAACCAGAATGGGGATGGGATCTGGCCAGCTGGTTAAAGAAATCGCCAACTCAAAGTACTCCAATTTGGGGACCTACTATCTACTAAGCATCAGTACCGTTGTATCATGTTGTTATATCATGTTATATCCAGTAGTTAACTATCCCTAAACTTATGGGTTGGTTGATCGGGGTTCCCACATTGGATATCATTGGGTTTGTAAAAATACTACCCATGAAGTCAGTATGTAGCCGATCACTAACCATCAACATCCATCAAAAGCAGCACATTTTCCCCTTGGACTTGGTACGTCTGCGACAGCTGCGGAGGAGTCTAGCCTGGGTCGGATATTAAGACCCTAGGATTCTCCAAATGTATATCCCATCATGTCCCACTAAACTTACTTTTCCTTGGATATGCCATTAAAAATCGTGATTTTGCTTAGGATTATACAGATTTTATATGGAATATCCATGGATATCCCATGAAAAACTGATATAGAATGCAAAACACTGGGGAAGATATCCCTCTGCACGATGCGAGCTTATGGAGGACTGTCCAAACACGCTTGAAACCATGCAACAAACAAAAAAGGGCATCCCGGGGTATCGTTCTCTGAAAAGAGTGCCTTCACCCCACGGTTCAATCATTTTCACCTGTCCAATAGTTCTTTTCCGCGGTATGACCCATTTCCAGACACCCAAACCTCAGATTCTTGCTTACATATCCCAGTATCATCATTACATACCCATTGAATCCCCATATTCATCCATATTCTCCATTAGATCAGCATGATACTCCCAAATAAATATATGGAGGTGTCCCAAAATGGGGATACTCCCAAATCATCCCAAATTAGACCATTTTATAGTATTGAAACCCATGGTTTTGGGGTACTCAAGTATACCGATTAGTGTGATGGTACCCTATTGTGATGCTTTTTTCAAACATGATTCAGTCACCTGACATTGGGGGTGGCCTCTATTGCGAACATGTTTCCCAGACCCTTTTTTTTCAGGAGCAAAACGTCAATGCCACCAAAAAAAAACATAACATAAATGTAGCTCCAGTCCCTTCTTGGTATATTTTTCCAGAACTTCAAAAGCCTTTGTCCACCCTTCCTCTTACTATAGCTGCCGTATCTTGATCACCACAATCATCTTGAATCTTCAAAATGTCAAGTTCCCCAAAAGGAACCAAGTTCCTTATTAAAACCCCAAACATTTTTCAAGAGGGTAGCCCATGAGTGACTCAGATCCACAATATATATATATAATAGAATTTGTTTCGATGGTAATCTAATATCTAATTATTGTGCTAAGGCTAAGGACCTTCTGGGGTAAAACAAATATCAACACCTTTTATCCACCTTTCTTTGGGTAAAGCTGTTGCAATTACTTTAGAATGCCATATTCATCTGGAATCCTTAGAATGCAAAATTTGCCAAAGAACCACTTTCCTCATTAAAACAAAACCTAGTTAAAAAGAAGTACCACCCAAACATTTGTTCGAGAGGATAGCCCATGAGTGACTCAGATCCTCCATAATGGAATTGTTTGGACCTTCTGGTGTAAAATCAAACTCAAAAACCTTTTATCCACCTTTCTTTCGGTAAGCCTGTTACTTGTGCAGTCCTTACTTGTCCTTAGATACCTTTTGGTTTAAAAGGACAATTAGTTGAAACTAGATTGAGATGCATTGAAATCATTACCTATCTTTAGATTTCCTTTTGGATTTATATAAAAGGAACATCAATTATAAGTAGATTGACATAAATTGTCATCCTTACTCATCCTTAGTTTTTCTTGAGTTTTAAAAGGAACATCAATTGAAAGTAGATTGACATGAATTGAAATCCTTACTCATCCTTAGATTTATTTTGGGTAAAAAGGACCATCACTTTAAAGTATATTGACATGAGTTGAAATTCTTACTCGCCCTTAGATTTCTGTTGGTTATAAAGGACAATAAATTGAACCTAATATATATATATAAATTGAAATGAACTGAAATCCTTACGTATCAACTTATCATTTGTTAGTTTTACTTGTGGGTTAAAAAGGACCATCAATTGAAAGTAGTTTTGCATGAATTGAAATCCTTACTCATGCGTAGATTCTTTTTGGGTTTAAAAGAAAAATCAATTGAAAGTAGATTCAAGCAAATTGAAATCCTTTCCAATCATTAGTTTTTTGATTTAAAAGGGAAATCAGTTGAAAGTAGATTGGCATCAATTGAAATCTTTACTTACTTTGATCGTCCTGAGTTCCCCAGACCTGGTCCCAAGGAAACATTAAATAATCGAGTATTCCTTAGTTGATCGGGTGAGGGGCCTACAGGAATTACCGTCAGCCGTCACCACCGTTTTAAGAAATCTTCATAATATGAAAATAAACTCATCATTCGATCCCCATTATATCAGACCCTCATCCCAAACTCCTACGTTACTTGCTCAGCTTAGCAGGTCCACAAGCCTCTTATGTCTTCCAGCTTGGTCTCCTTTTAAGGAGGCTGGCAACGCAGCAGATCGACCAACAAAAATGTGAACCTTGGTTACCGCCCGCCATTCTTGAACTTGCTCAATATTTCAATGATGACTGATCTGACTATAACATACTATAACTTTTTAGATCAATATCAGATTCTAGCAATGTCATAAAATTATAAGTTTCTGGAAATGTCAATATCAGATTCTATCAATATAACTGTTATCAGTTTATAACACCCAATTATGGTCGACTTGGGCTGGATCCTTTCGCTTTACCCAGCCGTTCTTCTGCCCCATCAGCTGCATTGCCTCAAGCCGGCAGAAACATGCTGCCATTGCGGCCACTGCAGCAACATGATTTTGCCGGGTCTGCAACCAACAGCAGCGGGTATATTCCTATCACAAGACCACTGTACAGATATACATGTTTTGATGCATGCTAAACCCAACAACACACTCTATGTTTTTAAGCTTTCATTCAGGAATGCAGTATTAGAATTTCTATTAGATTAGAAACTGCACAAGGATAATACAACTGGATGATTTGTTTACATGGATAATTTTCCAATCATATATATAGTATAGTATAGTCCATTTTTCCAATTATCATATATATAGTATAGTATAGTATAGTCCAATTATATACTATTACAGTATGTCCAATTATATAGCTTTTCCGCTGATGGGCGTCACTGGATTTTCACCTGCGTCTTGGATTGGTAGTTTCGTACTATTTCGTGTTGCATAAAGCAGTCACCCACAGCGATGCCGAAAAGATGGACATTTGGATATGTATATATATATGTGTACCCTCTGGTAATTTAACATAGCTATTGAAAATCACCATGTTTAATGGGTAAATCAGCTATAAATGGCAATTTTCAATAGTTATGTTAGTTTACCAGAGGGTATGTACGTGGAAAACATCGTCTAGCTACCATCCTGGAAACACTCTACCGGGCATTTTTTGAGTGCTACATGGTGTTACTATATGGGGATGGGTCAAAACCCTATATCCCCCTGGTGAACATCAAATAGCTGGTAAATGGATGTTCATCCCCCTAAAAATGGTATGTATAGGTATTGATCCATAGCCATATATAATAATTCGCATCATGACCCACTGACAGCATGCATTGCAACCTGTGGTTGCACGTGTATGTCACAAACTAAATTCAGGCGTGCACGCACGGGCAGGACTTTCGGAATTTCTGGTCCGGCTTCGTACACTTCCCTGAGATCCAAACGGGGAGTTCAAGGTTCCCAGTCATATGACCTGGTAATGTTCTTGCCATGTTGGGGTCTTAAATCATGCATGTTAAATCTTCAATGTTCCGTGGGCTAGAGCTTTTGATATGCCACAAATCAAATCGGTTCATCTTGGGCGTCCAGCCCTTGGAAAACCCAACATCATCAAGAACCGTTCTATTGTCCATTTGGGTAGAATAGAGGGGCCGGTTTGGAATATCCTTTCTTATCATCTACCGGTTGGGTTTTCACAGCGGAGTACACAAGTGTAGTGCAGTTAATGTTCAGGGCAAACACCACTGAGTCACGGATATTAAAGCATTATTATTTTGCTGTTATTGTTCGTATCATATTATATATATATACATGTATATATATATATATTGTAGTTGTATATATATATATATCATTGTTATATATATATATCAGTGTTATATATATAATTGTCATATATATATATATATCATTGTTATATAAGTTATATATTATTGTTGTTATATATATACATATTATTGTTATATACATATATATACATATTATTGTTATATATTTGCTATTATTATTACTATAATATTATCATTGTTATATATATATATATTCATTCTCATTATTGTCGTCTTCAGTCATCGTTGGGTCAGATGCCAGCTTTGAGTTGGTCAAATTGCGCATGCTTCGAGAACAATTCTATATACCATTGTATATTCTTATTTGACCCATTGATGTTTCCCAATGTTTCACTTTGATAATTACTACCAGTAAATATCATACATACATCAACGTTATGTGTTCCTTTCTGCGATTCACCGTATTCTTGCTGAAGATTGCTGAAGTAAACTGCTATGTGGTTCGCTCCCATTTCTATGTAGCTCGACGCACCAAAGGTCCAAATGTCCTCCCGATAAAACGTCGCCTGAAAAACACAACGGCGGCGCGTCGGCGCGTCATTTCATCGCCCAGCGCTCACGCAACTTGGGAAGAATGGATCTCGACAGAACCTGCCCAAAAGTCGCTGCTGGGGAGTCACAGATCGTGGATCAGCATCCATGATAGATATGGTCTATGGGATATATATATGATTAAATAATATTAAATATGTGTTCGTTGACACCAACTCCTCCTCATCATCATCACCATCATACCATCATCTTCAAACCATCGTCATCAAAATCAAAGTCCGTTCACATATTCACATATAGACGTAATACTGACACACGTTGTATATATCATATACCAGTAAGTGCCCAGTTTCGAACACGAACTATAGGAAATCAATGGCCTGTAGGAAGGTATGTGAGATGCAGAAGCAATGAAATTCTGAAGATGTATGAAGATGAGAGGAGCGTCAATGAATGAACAACTGTTGTTGAGATGCCAATGCAATGACATGGAACCAATGCCATGAACGAATGAATGAATGAATGAATGAATGAATGAAGGAATGAAGGAGTGAAGGAGTGAAGGAATGAATTAATTAATGAATGAATGAACGAATTTCTGACTGACTCATGCATGCATGCACGCATGCATGCATGAATGAATAAACAAATGAATGAATGAATGAATGAATGAATGAATGAATGCATCGATAAATGACTTAATGCATGAATGAATGAATAGAAAGGCAACCAATGAAACCATGAAGCAATCAATCAATGAATGGGGAAATCAATGAATGAAGCCGTGAAAGATGATTCAATCCATGAATCAGCGAGTGAGTGAATCAATGAATGAATCCATGAGTGGATTAATGAAATGAAAACGAAATGAACATGAAATAACATGAAATGAAATGAATCCAATGAGTGAATGAGAGAATGAGTGAGCGAGTGAGATCCAATACTCAACCAGCAGTATTATATTGCTGGCTCTGCAAAATATATGTATAATAATGTATAATATATATATCCCGTTTAAGCATGTTTGCTATTCATATTAAAGCCTCAATCTTTCACGGTCTCACCACCATTTTCCCACGGTTGTATCCACAAGTTAGATGTTTAAACAATCTTTCCTCAATGTTTGAGGCTTAAAACCAATTTTTTCTCAATTATTGATGATTAAACAACCAACGTTCGTTGAACCAATGCCCTGCCGGCCCATCGCACCTGCCGAAACCCCTCGCTGCCTTGCCCTTGAAGGTCCTCTGGTGAAAATCAAGGGGAGATCTCCAAAACCAATGTTTTTTTTCCTATATCCTATATATATATTATATCCGGTTGGTGGTCTTGGAAAATATGAAAGTCAATGGGAAGGATTATCCCATATATTATGGAAAATAAAAATGTTTGAAACCACCAACCAGCTATATATATATATATATATATGATGTATATAGTAGAGATGTACCATGGGAGTTTTTCTTAAACTATTTTTCTTTGAAATTGATGTAATTAAGCATGAACGATGGGGATTTAATTGGAGAGTGGAAACACATAAATGCTATAAACCAACAACACTATGAGGAAGGTGATAATAAACAAACAGATTTGGGTTCCCTGTTTATTCCAACGTAGACATATGGAAACTCATGTAGAAATTAGATTTGGAGAATCCACCAGCTTTCCTAGAATAATGTGTATTTTCTGGAGGGTTACCCATCCAAACAAGTAGAAACAGTGCAGTTTTTATCGGATTTAATGATGATCTAGTGACACGCAAATTGTGGTTTTACCCACAAACTGGGGACACAGCCACACCAAAATGAGGAATTAATCAAAACAAAACACTGTTTTCGCCATGAAAACCATCAAAACTACGTGTAAAACAGAAAAACCGTTTGAAATCTGCTAGATCGGCCAGACTTTGCCAACAAGATCAGACAAGGAGAATACCTAAACCATCCCAAACCTAATGGGGAATCTAACCAACCAACATCTTAATGCATAGACTCATAGACATATTAACACAGCAACTTAACCTACGCAAACTGGGATGTAACCAAACAAAGTCCATATCCATGCATATCCAATAAAAAACGAAGGGTATGACTCATGACTAGCAAAAACTTGTTTACCACATGGGCTTTGTCTAGAAATTTAGGCGAAACCACCTATTCAAAGCATGTCAAATCTTCCTTTTTGTGGCTATCCCGATTTTCAGACACCAAATGTAGAGCGCGAAAAACTTTGGGTATCCCCACAATCAGACAAAGCAAACAACCAGAACGTAAAAAATCGCTACAGACACCACTCAGTGGATTGCAAGGAAATACAAAATATAAACATTTACAAACACGTACATATAAACACTCAATTTAGAATGATATGGTATAAGAAGGAATATGTGTGTCCATATATAAATAATATGTATATAACCACATATAACCCCAACACCATTTTTTTTTGGCTCAGACCCTGGGGAAAAACATCGCCAGTTCCGAACTGCGTTTGGCACGGCAGTTTTTCTTTTTAACACCAAAACCATTGATAGTCCCATTGTTTCTGGTTCTACCAGGTATTTTATTGATGTATCATTGTTAGTAAATCTCCAGTAGTGGCTGTAGTTATACTATATATATATATATAATCATGTATATATAATATATATATATATGATATACATCTAAATAATTGGTAATTTAACCTAGCTATTGAAAATGATCATTTATAGTGGTTTTACCTATTATCAATGGTGATGTTCCATAGTTTTTTTGTATGTTTACCAGAGGGCAATCATCAAACGCTACCTGCTCTTAGGGTTCTACCAGCCACTTCCCATGGCCGGATCAGGCGCCTCCTCACATTGGGCCAACAACTTTGGGCCGTGGACTGAGAAGTGTCTTGCAACTACCTGCGACCCACGCGCAAGCGGCAAATTAAATGCGGAAAGATGTAATACGTGGCAAACGTCAGTGACTTTTGTATATACCTACATATTCAATATGTAAATATGATTAAATATGTCTAAATATGAATGTATGTACATATTCATTAATTCACTGTACTTTCAAACAACAAATATTTGAAATTAAAATAGATTGTTTTACTAAATAAGTTAAACATAAGTAAACTAATAAAAAAAAGTAAGTAAGTGGTTGGCTAACTAAACAAATAAATAATCTAATATATATAATTAAAAATAATTATCATAATTGTATATAGTGTATATTATATATAGTATACATTGACAAACCAAAGAACATAGAAACATGGGAAACCTGCAAAGTTTCGAAGCCAATATATAACTACTGGACATGTTGTTCCATCTATATGTATACGGATGTATACGGTATATACTGCAAGGGTGCCGTTCAGAGAAGCAATTCCGCTTGATTTTGAAGCTTCATTCTCAGAGCCGCCTTGTGCGTATTGCATCTTACGGTCGCCCAAAGTTAGAAGTGACAACATGGAGGTAGAAAAAAACACACAAACAACACGCCTTGACAAGCTGGAGAATAAAATGCTGGTGGAAGAAGCAAACAAACTTGGCTTCTGGTGTGTCTACGTCCTTTGGCGCTACCCCTCCTCTTTTTGTTGAAACATCGTTCCCCAGACGGATTCCTTGGGAATTCACAGATAGAGCAGGGCCACCGCGGGGCTGCTTGCTATAATTACCCATGTCGAACACTGTTCTAAAAGAGTTTCTTTCCAGAGCGTCCCTGAAGAGTGTCTAGCAAGATTGCTTGTCACTCACCTTAAAAGATACAGTAGGCACTTTCCTCATTGGGCGTTTGCAAGTAAGGCCGCGGGGCTGCGCAAAAAGAAGGGCCCCCAATCTGACACAGAAGCCTAGGACCTAGGAATGGGGAGTGTGGACCAAAGGAATTGAGTTCCAGCACAACACCAAAGCGAGCCCCAAGCAGCAAAAAGTTCGCACAGAGAAACATAATTATGGATATGGAGGATTCCTCAAATTCGAGATCCCCCAAAACCATGGGTTTCAATATGTTTCAATACACAAATAGCCGAAATTTGGATGAATTGGGGCACTCCCCAGTTGCCAAGGCCCCTCTGTATGTTTGAAAACGGCTGAATTGGAGCCGCTGGGAACATGGAACGCTGAGCCAAGGAACGGAATGTTAAGGGTGTGCTTGGAACACCTGAAGCCATGCTACTACTGTACGTGTATATATATAAATAATAATAACAACAATAATAAATAATACTACTAATACTCATAATAAATCTAATATGATCATAATTGTCATGAATTAACATTGTCTGTTTTGCCATTGTTTGTCATCATCATTATTATCAATATCATCAATTTGGTCAATATTGCCATTGTGATCATTATTGTCATTACGATCACTATTATATACTATTATCATTGCTATTAGTGTTAGTGTTATCGTTTTGTTTGTTACCATGAGTATGTTCATTATCATAATCATTAATTACTATAATCATTACCACAACTACTTCTATTCTATAGTATATATATACTATATTAGTTTCAGACACGAATTCGGCAATATAGAATTTTGATGTGTTTTGTCCTTTAACGTGTTTGATTTTCAATTTTTGAAGGACCTCTCCAGGTAATATCATATCTAGCAGGGTTTCTGACACTACGCTCATACATGTCGGAACAACAAAGAAACTGGGTGCTAAGTTTTTTTTTTTTAAATAAGACATATTACAAGATTCCTTGCCAATTCGCGTTGAACTTAAACGCACATCCGAGGAGTCCCGCGGTCATCGGTCAGTTGGTAATTGGACATCTCATATTGGGAACTCACGGGATATTGGATATCAATGGATATCATGGATTCATAAATCCCTGTCAATAGATCGATGGCTGCATTTGAAGGGAAAACAAACCATGTTTTGAGCACGGCACATCTCAAGTTAGTCAAGTAAATACACCAGAAGACCAACCATGGTATGAGCAATTGCTTAGAATTCACCATAACGAAAAATCTCTTCGCCCGAATAAAACACAACTTCTGAAAGAGACCTTGATTTAGATAGGGAATTTCCATAGGAAATTCCACATTATTTCCACATCATCGACCATTTATTGCCCATCCGTTGGGACGTCAGGTTGGGACATCCGTCAGATCGCCCCAGTCAGATCGGGCTCCACCTCTTCAAATCCACGCGGCGGCTGCTGATCAATCTTCAGAGCTGCTCGGAGACAAAGCAAGCGAACATTTTCATTGTACCTGCCGCTGCTTGGCTTCAGATTCGGAAGAAAACTGATGGTTTAACCGATGGTTTAACTGATGGTTGAACTGATGGTTTCGGATTCAGTTTTGAAATGTTTTGAAGATGTTTGATACTTGTTCAGTGGAATCCCATCCATGCAATTGTGGTGTGTATATATATATATATATTATATCTATTATTATTATCATTATTATTACATATGTATACCTGCAGATATTTGCCAACATGTGGCGAATTTTAGGGTTGCTTAGCACAAAATCAACCCCTTTTCGGTACGTGGATGCCCTCAGATTCATCCTCAGAACGCGTGGGAAAAGAGATGCGGTGAAACGGTGAACCCCAACAGAACAAAATCACAGTTCCAATAGGTGTCGTGTTTTTTGTCTTAATGTCTTAGAATGGGCTAATACTTCCATTTTATGGCAATTTTAATCATGTTAAATCTCGATACCTCCAGTAAACTAAGAGTTTGCTAATAAAAAAAACATGTACTTCGACTATTTACCGATTCAGAATATTGTGATTTTCCAGCTCGCAAACTATGAGGAAATCTCGAAAAAATGATGCCTCACCACAGGTTTTGCTTACGCCACTGCTTGTTTTCACCGTCAAATATGTTTGCAGCATCAGCGTTGTGAGGATGAAGAAGAGCTAGAGGTCGAAGAAGAGGAAGAAGAGCTACGCGACAGAAGGGCAATGTGCTTCGAAAATTTCTAAAAACAGTTCCAACGACGCGGTTTCTTTGGCGCCATTGCAGGTCCGAAAAGGCTTTTGTTTGCGCGGGCATGTGGGCTACTACTCAAAAAGTCAAGTTCAGCTTACGCGCTGCTTACGCGGAGCTTACGCGGAATGTGGCCATAGTGTTGGGGAATTATAACCAAAAAAATAGAACAATTAAGAAAATACACAGGGAAACCATAGTTGAGGGGCAATCTCTTACTTTGATTTGCACATGCCACACATGTGCTTACGCACAGTGCTTATGCAGCACATTCTTGACAAAACCCCTTACGCCACCTTGCGCCAACCAGGGTTTTGCTTACGCCAAATGCTCATATGACAAGGCCCTAATTAAAACAATTCAAAACGGTTTTTGGGGTTGCTCAGATGATATTCTTAGTTTATACACCCATTGTTCAATTATGCATTGCTCAAATCATGTCAAATCACCACGTTTCATGGTGAGATTCCATATGTAGATCCCAAAAAACATCACAGTGTGGGTTATCACATGTTATCACTATTCATCACTACAATATCATTATAAAATATGATAAATCACCAGTCATCACAACATATTCCCATGTCCCATGAAGCAATGGATCAGGGCTCTGGGGGTCACATGGCCGAGGCATTCCGGCCATGCTCTGACTTAGCATCACCTGCCGAAATTCATGGTGACTTCATGGTGGTGACGAAACATGGGGATTTCTATGCCCATGACGGATCCGCAGTATGAAATGGAGGTGTTAAAGGGAGCATCATAGAACTGCTGGATCAACTGGGATGAAATGGGATGACATGTGTACCAATACCCATGACGGATCCATGGTGCTGGTATATATATGCTAACATCAAGGGGCTATTTCTTGATGGGATCCATGGCACACCATATATAGCACCATGGATCCTACGGGATGGTGTCGGTGGATTTTCATGGTGACTTCCCAATAGTGACTGTCATGATGGCGAATATCACATGATATAACTGAGATTTACTCTCTGGTCACAGTTTGAGGGTGAAATTCAGGCATTTTTAGTGGAACCTAGTCTGAGAAGCCCCCTATCTGCCAGGGTCTATGTTAATTTACTGGAGAGTAGTGGTTGATTCTTCCATGATTTACCATAACTAATGGAATTACAATCAATTCTCTAACAACAATTGGCATTTAACCAATGAATATCATGGATATTTGGAGGTTATGGGAAAATCATCAACGGGAACATCATCAAACTCAATCGGTGATTTTAGTGGTGCATTTAGTGATGCATACCCAATTTATGGGGATTTGTTCTATTTCAACAAATGGTGGATCACATAATATCATATAGGGGTATATATAGCGGAAATTTGATGGGATATGGCAGTGTGTCAAAACCTTGTACCCCTGTAGTTCACATCAAAATAGCTGGTAAATGGATGTTCATCCCCCTAAAAATGGTATTAATAGGTATTGATCCAAACCCATATTGATACTTTATAGTGGTGATAACAAACCATCCGGTTTCATCCGTCCCGAGGCTCGCTTAAGGAAATCCAATCACACTAAAGCAAGCCATCGAACTGATTACCATCTTGGCTATGGAAAACAAGCCATCGAACGGCCTAGGAAAATGATGTATTTGTACTAATGTCCATATCTATGTTTCTGTTGAGGAATTGAATGAGTAACTGATAGTAACTGATTAATAAGTGGGTAACAGCCTTGACGAAATACTTAGGTGGAAATAGTCCCTTGGGTCGTGGAAAGTCTAATCAGGCATTGGTTTTGCCACATTACTTGTGTAGTTTACCACATTACTCGTAATTATAGTTCAACGATGATTTGATTTGTTCACAAGGAAAGCAAAGGAACACATTTTCTTTTTTGATTCTGAGGCATCTCCAGATTCTAGCATTCTGTAGGAAAAAGGTATATCAGCAAACCATGATTTAGCCTCCGGCAATGCGAAATCCCCATTTTAAATGGCGGCTTGAATGTGAACATCTGTGAACATCATCTATAAATGGAAGATGTTCGCCACGGTTGATTGCCGGATGGTACCTTGAATGATGCCCCCAAACGTGATAAGTTTGTTGGTTTAAGTTTAGATTCACCATATATGAATATTAACTATCGTTACATCTACCATCAACACCAGTTGTAAATTGGTTTATAAACCCCATTAACTATAGACTATAGGCTATAGTTATATCAGCCATAAACAAATAGTTAATTTACCATACACAGCCATAGTTTATAAACAAACAGCCATAGATGGTTGTTATACAGTATTTGATATAAACCCTAGTTATTGGAGTTATGATCACCAACTTATCCACCTAGATACAACTGAATCCCATTGACTATAGTTACCATCTACCATTTTCACAGCCATCAACAGCCTTTGCCACCATAGACAAAGGAGACATAAACAGCCATAAACCCCATAGTAGATATAACTAAATTCAACTATAACTGGTTGGTGGTATACCTACCCCGCTGAAAAAATGATGGAGTTCGTCAGTTGGGATGATGACATTCCCCATATTAATGGAAATATAATGTTCCAAACCACCAACCAGTAATCAGTTGGTTTATCTACCCTCTGGTTATTTAACATAGCCATGGTATAGATGGCCCATAGAAATAGATGGTTTACCTATTAAAAATGGTGATTTTCCATGGCTATGTTAACCAGAGGGTACCATCAGCCATAAACCAACCATCGAATTCAGCGGCAGGATCCCAGGGACCCCAGCTCTCGTGCCCAGGCTCGTTGAAGTAAGGATCCTACGCGGTGCTTCGTTTTTCGCCGGTCCGACCGACCAAAGGCCATAAAAAATGGCTTCGTTTCAATGGGAGACATGCTGGATCATTGTGGATCAATGATCAATGATCAAAACACACCAAAGTTACTATATCAATGATCAAATATGAGCAATATAATGATCAATAATCATCATCCACATGATCAATAATCAATGATCAATAATCAATGATGATCCATGATCGATAATCAAATTCATTAATCATTCATCTGGGTAAATTATAATATTTCACTAACCTGAATTAAGGCCATTTGGGGATGATTTCCCTTATTAACCATGATTCCAGTGAGGTCGCAGTGAGGTTGTTTTAATTTACCCAGATTCATCACTTTCAGACAAAGCCTGCGACGATTCTGTCAATAGAAATAGCCCAAACTTTGACAGCATCGTAATAGAACGGACAATCAGCCGCGGCGATACTTGCTGTACCCCAAGTTGGACCATAGTTGGTCCAGCAAAACCATAAAACTGCACCAAAAAAAATGGGTATAAATCAGAGCCATACACTATGATACACTGATGTAGCCATTTTTTCCTGCCATATTTTTTCTTGGCGGTTACAGTAGGTTAATGTCTTACCCCATGAAAATTGCAATCAATCCAGTTTCTTTCCCCTGGAATTCTTCACCGTTTGTGAACAAGAAATTCACCGAGCAAACCGTAACTATCGTAACTCTCAATTTGGAGATGCAGAAAAGAGATCACCTATTTAACAAATTTTTGATTTTTGTCACATTTTTCGACTTTTCGGGGCTATTTGCTGCAAAAAAATGGGATTTTGTACACTGCCAAGAGTCGAAAGCAAACAGCGCACCTCCACCAGCACCAGGCCCTGCAAAGATACCAGGACCTGTGTTGTTTTTTTTTTTTGCTGGCGGGTTCCCGCGAGGGATTTATCGTACATGGCGCCATGTGTTAGGTCGTTTCACAACAGGAAGACCCCCCTGGCCTTGATAAATCTAAGTTGGTTTCTTCAGTTTCTTCTCCCCATCGATGTATCCACCAGAAATCCACCTGAAACAAACCAACTGAAAACTATCTTGATAGTCACTGATAGTCTCACAAGTGAGGAAGGTTCCGTGGCTCCCAATGGGAATATGTTTCCTATTGAAATTCACAATCTTTAACAAGTGAATCATCAAACTTAGCCACTGTTACATAGGAGATACCTACAATATCCTACAATAATAAAGGTTAATCAAGGTATAAAAAACACTTTAGGATATTGTACGGCGATATTCTATGGGAAATTTCACCAGCAATATATGGTAAACTCACTGTGTGTTTCATGGTTAAATCTTAAATTAGTTAAATAAGTTAACTCCCAGTAAATCCCATCGAAATCTTCATTATGTTTCATCTGTTCCCATAGCCAAACCAGTGTCAAACCATCATCTTCCATATATTTTCCCAAGAATTCCCTAGCTGGTTGGTGGTTTCAACCCCTCTGAAAAATATGAGTTCGTCAGTTGGGATTATTCTTCCCAATCTATGGAAAAGTAATCCAAATGTTCGAAAAAACCACCAACCAGCTAGAATTTTCCATAGTTTTCCTATAGAAACCCAGCCGTTTTCCTCGGTGGTTCCCCATTAAGGGCCAGCCATTGAAGCCGCCCTGCGCGGTGCGCCTGCAGCAGGGTCGACTTGTTGGGATCCCAGCCAGGGCCCGGCCAGGTGCCCAGCAAGCTCAGACAGACCTGGCGCCGTCGTTTTTTATCTAATGACTATAACTGGTGTATATGGTATAAATATATATAGATATACATTATACATACATATATATATATTATGTATAAATAGTACATATATATATATATATCACAGATAGTTCTTTCGTGTTTTTTTAATGGTTCATGAGTATACTAACCAATGGTTGCGGCACCTTGCCATCGCAGTAGAGGTTGGGGTTCAAGCGTTCACTGCTGCTGGCCTCAGACAAAATGGCCACCCAGAGGTGATCAACGCGATGGGTGGATAGATATAATATCTACCTGGTTGGTGGTTTTAACAATCTTGAAAAATATGAAAGTCAATGGGAAGGATTATCCCATATATTATGGAGAGTAAAAAATGTTCCAAACCACCAATCAGCTACCATCTGGTTATTTGTTACATAGCCATGGTATAGATGGCCCATAGAAATAGATGGTTTACCTATTGAAAATTGTGGATCTTTCCATGGCTATGTTAAATAACCAGAGGGTAATTTATCTATAAGGTTATTAAAGAGAAAAATAATAGGTTCTACTTTCTAAGGTTATTAAGGATATAATATTTAGGTTATAATATCCAAGGTTATCTAAGGTTCTTATTAAAGAAAAAACAGGTGAGTTAATCATAGTTAATCATGGTTAATCGACTATGAAATAGCAGTTTTAAAATTTAATAACCATAAACCATATCTAGATGTTTGTCAATTGTGGCTTGGTCGACTATGGCTTATGGTCTATGGTATATTATATATACTTAATGGATCTTAATGGCCTTTATAAACCAATTCGGCATCACCTTGATAACTGGTGCTGATGTTAATCTGAGTTATATAATACATGGTGATTGAAGAGTTGGTGATCTTTGGGGTAGTAGAGCAAACATGACCAACAGTTTCCTTGACCAAAAGTAGTCCCTTGGATTGATCAAATGATCAAACCACTCACAATGCCGAGTAGCTGGGTCTTTTCCCTCCAGTAAACTATATGTATATATATATATATTATATATATTATATATATAGTTTACTGGAAATCCATTGGGATTCTCTTAGCAATGGTCTACAAGTGCCATAGCATGCCATAGCTGTGTTAGTTTACTGGGTACCAAGGTTTTTGCCATGCCTGAGCTCTCCATTTGAGTGTGTCTGATAGGGTAGTGTTTTTACCCAAAGTATTGGTCACAAATCAAGCATCAGATTCTTGATGGTTACCCTCTGGTTATTTCACCGTTTGCTATGGAAGCCATGGCCCATTTATAGATGATCCCCATGGGCCCCATGATTTCCGCGTTGGAAAAAGCTGAGATTTTCCATGGTCACATGGTCACCTTTAAAGTCCCCATGGCCCGGCGCCCCAACGAACTGCGACAAGTAATGCACCCTGGGAGGCTCCGCAGGGTACCTGCGACTGCTGGGCTCTCTGGGCTCTGGGCGGGCTCAGGGAACTTGGATGGGGCCTCCAAGGAACATGACAACTTCAGTTACTTCAGTGATTATATGGAATTCCCCTATCGGTTATATTGGGATTATATGGGATTATATGGATGGTTATGTCGGGATCTGGTTGGTGGTTGAGCCACCCCTCTGAAAAATGATGGACTTCGTCAGTTGGGATTATGACATTCCCAATATATGGAAAAATAATGAAAAATAAAGCTTGTTCCAAACCAACAACTGTTCAGTTTTAAGTTCAATCCGAAGAATCAGACATCCTGATGTTTGGTCTTGGTTTTCGCTTCAGGGAGTAGCATTTTATCAATGGCCATTTTAGGAACCTAAAGTGGAGGTACCTACCATATATAAGGCCTATTTTTTAGGCCTAAATTTCAGGGAATATCCCCAGAAAATATGGCCAAAAATATGGTACTAAGTTAGTACCTCCATGTATTGGATCCTGAAGATCTCCCATGGATTTTATAGCTTCAACATGTCATGCCCAATGGATCCCAATGGATCCCACTGGCACTGAGGCGACAGAGCCAAGTCGAAGAAGAAGGGCAGATCGGCATAAGGCGTCCCTGGCGGTCCAACCACCTGCCCGAAAACAACGGGAGTTTCGCCCAGGGGTCCCATCGCCTTAGAGTATGACTAATGATCAGATGGGGATGGGTCAAAACCCTGGTACCCCTGGTGAACCTCAAAATAGCTGTGATTTATGGATGTTCATCCCACTAAAAATGGTATCTATAGGTATTGACCCATACCCAGATGGTTAAGAACACCATAGCCTGGGAGTTTGGAGAGAAAGAAATGGACTTATCATAAGTCCATAGCAGGATGCAATGTGAAGATTGTGAAGGATGATGACCAAAAAACTGTTCAATTTTGGGGCACATGATGCAATTTGGTGATATTGCAACCAACTGGACATCAGGTTTCCTCATGATAGCAGATCCAGTTTTCCAAACTCTGCTCAAATTACTATATGATCTATATGTACTTCCCAACTTAAAACGAATTCTTTCCCTACCTTTGACATCACCTATGTTTTTTTGATGTCCAGGTTGCTCGATAATTTAAAAAGTGCCGAAACATGGAGTAAAAAAATGTGTTACGTGTATTGTCATATCATACTGTTGTTTAAACCTCTTGATGTAAATGTCATGCTAAGTGGCAGCAACGGCAACGACAAGAACAATCACAACCTCAACACGCTTTACACCATAGATGAATCGAGTCAGAATCATCTCGAAGATCATCACTGCATACAGGCCTGTCTGAAAATAGGTACTTTCAAAACCCATGGTCTATCACCATTGTTCCTATTCAATGCACCTATATGTCGGAATGTTCAAATTTCCAAACGATCCTTCAGCATAGAAACCTTGGTCTCCTGGTGTTCACATCAAAACATCTGTGCAGGATGTAAAAATCAGACCTCTCCTCCGCACAAATCATAGACGTTTTGATATCTCTCATATCCCCAAAGAAAACACATAGTTTAATGTGAATAATTATGATTTTTACATAGTCCTTTTGATACTGATTCTCCAGCACATGTATCCAAATTATTTCAACTATGTGAAACTCACGGTTTTCCCCCCAGGGTTGGTTTATGTTGGTTTTACAAGGTTCACCCTTTGCCTTTCATCATCTGCTTCGGCCCCCCCCCTCCGCGCCATGGCGCGAAAGAGATCGCTGCGCGAAGCATAGCTTCGTACCAAGATGGGTGCTACGACACCTGCGCCGGCAGAGAAAGGGAACGCAAAAACGCATGGTTGTTCCGTTGCCAAACCAGATTGCTCGAGTATATCGCCGTTTGTCATATGCTGGAAACATATATGAAGAAATATGTTACTGTATACAAATTAAACAAAAAAAATCAAAGAACACATACACTAGCGTAGGTATTCATTTTTGTTTATATATGTTTTTCAAGAATCCAAACATTTCATAAATCACATCAGGCATAGCATCCATCCCCATTTCCCAACACTCCAACATGCGGGTATGGATCAAAATTGGGTACCTAAATTTAATTGGATGCTCCATACATCTCCATACTCAAAATAAACATTCCAATCTCTGGTTCCACCAAATTCTTTAATTTTGACCCATACCTATCCAATTGTCTCAAGGCCCAACACGTTGGCCTTCGTCTCCGTCCAACAACCCTTTGCGCAACACCGTCATGTCGCGCCTGGCATGCCGGAATCAAAAACACGCATATTATGAAAATAAATAAATATTGTATACATAATATATTGCATATATATATATAAAATATATTACATATAATATATATATATATATACATTTATCTTACAAAGTATATATATATATATAATGAAAAACAAACATATATACAATATAAATAATATAAACTATAAATAAGTATAAATAAATATATATATATATATATATTCAATACTAAAAATATAATATAATTTATAATAAAACAAATTATATAAAATAAAATATAATTGCGGTAAATATAATAGTATAAACATATAAATAAAAAAAAATAAATAATTGTAAATATATATATGATAATCAATATGTATAATACATATATCTTGTATATATTGTAAGGTAAAAAAAACAATTGTATATATAATATCTGATATATGTATATGTATATATATATATGAAAAATAATATATAAAATAATATGTACATATATATAAAATACGAATTAAATATATATATATATATATATAATATGTGTATGAACACGAATATTTATATGAATGAATATAAATAAATATATAAATAAATGTATTAATATGAATATATATAAAAACAAAAACACTATACATTAAATATGATATTTATATAAAAATATTGATATTTATATTGACTTAAAATGAAAGAATGTAAAATGTATAAAAAAATAAAAGCAAATTATGAAATATATATATATATATTATGTAGATTTAAGAATGCCGTAACTTGCATGAATGAATGTCTTCCACGTGAGGTACGGTACGGTGGTACGGTACGGTGGTACGATAGTATGGTACATGCTTCGGAGGGTACGGTACGGTGGTACGGTACGGTGGTACGATAGTATGGTACATGCTTCGGAGGGTACGGTACGGTGGTACGGTACGGTGGTATGATAGTATGGTACATGCTTCGGATGGTACGGTACGATGGTACGGTACGGTGGCGCAGTGCATCTAGCAATCTTATGGAAGGTATGGCCCGGTGGTGAGGTATTGTCATGCATTTGACATATTGGTTCGGCCACGGCCTGGTATCTATGATTCATGATTCGCTGGTATCCAATGTTATTGTTGTAACTTATTGCAGGCTGACAATTTGACAGCTTATTCTACATCACTGAGTCACTGGATAACCTGTAATTCTTCAATGCTTCAACGTAGATGAGAGCCTGCAGCTTCCAAGCCCTTTTGAAAACCATGTCTGGAATGGTCCATGATGCCGAAGTGGAAGTCAGATCATCCATGTCTTTGACCTCAAAGGAATTGTTCACAAGCTTCATGCATAGCAACTGCACATCGAAGGCTTCATTGCGCGTAGAGAGAAGCAACTCAATCAACTCAGTCGCATCGTTGCGCCGGTTCAAGCTTTTCTTCTTGGCATTCACCTTTGCAACGAAACCAGCAATCTCCTTCTGGGCCGTTTTGATTTTGTCAGTCAAGACTGACTCAGCAACCGTTGACACAATTTTGCTGAAGACTGACTTCTTCATTTGACCAAGGGAATCTTTGAACTCTTTCAGCATCATCTCATCTGAAGGTTTGGATTGATTTTGTTGAGTTCGAGGCTGCTTGGTAGGAGGCAACTGCATGATCTCAGTAGCATTTTCTGTACGTTTGTTGGTGCCAGCTCCAGTCTTATCCTTGTCTTTGGCCTTGGACTTGGTCTTGGCATCTCTCTTTGGCTGAGGTTTGGCAGCCGCTGGCTTCGCCGCAGCCTTGACTTTGGGCATAGGCCCAAAGGCAATGCTCAATGCGTCCAATGCATTCCCTATTCCATTTAATGCAACGTTCTCGTTGTCGTCTGAACTGCCATCATCATCACTTCTGTGATCATCATCATGCATTGAAGTCATTGGAGCATTCATTGCATCACATGGGTCCACAGCACCATCCACACTCATAGCAGCAACTGTGGAAGCAGCTCCTGAACTCGATCCAGGAGGCATGAGAGACAAAGCAGGGCGTTTGCTTGATGAGAAGCTTCCAATCTTGAAGAGAGGTAGGTCCAACGCATCAATGGTGTCACTCTTTGAAGTCCATGCCTGAGAGGCAGTTGAGAGATTCTTGGAATGTTGATCACCATCACCCACAGAATTGTCATTGTCAAAAACCTGAACGTCGAGCTCTGTTTCCTTCTCAGTCGATCTGACTCGCTTGTAGTAGCCTTCTCTTCCGGTTCTGATGTTGACCTCAAAGAGTTTAATTTGCACATGGTTTCATTTATTGGTAGATAGACTGAAACAAAGTTGGAGAAAGATCAAATGGTTCACAAATTCAAACACCTTTGTGGCTGGCTAGATCAATGATCACTCTGAATTCATTCAAGTGACACCTTCAACCCACACATTGTTGATCTTCTCCCATGTTCTCTCTGACTCCTTCACTTCCTTTCCTGGGTTATCTCTCTGGTAGATGTCAAGCCGACAGAACCATTCCTCAGGCTGTTCAAGTGAACTCTTCTCTCTGTTCTTGACCGACACAATGATCCGCGGACCAAGGGAAACATCTGAACGCATACGGAGCAAAGGGTTGCCACTCCGGAGCTCAATGTACTTGTTCCTCTGGGCCTGAGATAACAAAGCCAAGCTGAGTGCAATGAAGAAGCTCAGCTTTTGACAAAGCTCCTCAAATAGTATTGCTATTTCCTTCATCATATCATTGTCACTCCCAATTGCTGCATTATCATACAACTATAATATACTGTAATTAATCTGTAGTTTGTAGTATCATGTTATCAGCTTTTGTTTCAACACCTTTTGATACTACTACCAAATTGTACTACTGGGATCACTACCGCACAACAATGCCGTACCACAGCACTACCGCACTGCACCACCATATTGCACCACCATACCGCACCACCGTACCACCACACCGTACTACCGTACCGCACCACCGTACCACCGTACCACCGTAACCGTACCACCGTACCGTACCACCGCGTACCGTACCCAGTTAGTGATAGACAGCAGTAGACGGCAGTAGACGTCCCTAATCTACAGTAGTATTGGTGCATGTCTCTCCGTCTACTGCTGTCTATCACTAACTGGGTACGGTACGCTGGTATGGTACGGTGGTACGGTGGTACGGTACGATGGTACGGTTACGGTGGTACGGTGGTACGGTGGTACGGTGGTACGGTACACCTGGGACGGTACTGTGGTACGGTGGGATAGTACATTGGTACAGTACTGTGGTACAGTTGCAATATCAGGCTGTATTATACATTCATTAATTCAATCATTAAATAACATTTTAGTGCTGGGATATAAACATGTACCATGGTACAGTAGGTAAGCACAGTTAGATACGTTGGCTTTGCAACAGCCCAGCGCAAGCATAGTTATCATCGCCCAAGTTTGCAACTCCCAGCAAACATTGCAACATGGGTCAAGTGCAGACAAGGCACAATGAACGCATGCATTCTGGTGGGGTCAGATTGGAGTAACTTGTCGAATCCACTCAGGTTGGGAGGCGTACAATCCAATGACCATCCTCCATGCTGGAACACCTTAGACAATCATCCAGTTGCAACCGCAAAAATGATACTTCCGGTGCAAGTAAAATATCACATGAATGAATCATGTGAACCATTCTATTGCATCAATGGTATCAGTTGGCAATTTGGTATCATTATTGTATGTCATCCAACGCTGTGCACCAACAAGAGGATCTGATGATCTGACTATGGCTATTAGTCATTTTGAGTTATGCTATTATGTTTACTGCTGGTGGAAGTGGCATCACAAAGTTCATAGCAAACACATATCACATATCTAATTTGTACAGAAATGAAATCAAACACGTCACACTTCTTCATACTTACTTTGACATCACAGAAAACAAGTATCACAGTACTCAAGGTCAATAGCATCCAAACAAACGCCAAGAAACTACGATGCAAATGCGGCACACCAAGCCTCGCGGCTTGGACTTGGTACCGTCATTCCACGGCATGTATGGGTCCCATATTGGGAAGCAACCTGGAGGAAGAGGACTGTGGTCAGAGGATTTGTTGCGACAATACTTGCAGAGTTTGATGACGAGCTTCACCTTTTCTGCTGGACCTGCTGCCAACTCTTGAAGACTCCTAGCAGGACTCCCAGGGGCTGGCAGGCCATCCGATGGTGCAACTGACGAAGGCGGCATTGCAAATTCAGCCAGGCGCAATCAAAGGACAAATCACAACCAGTGAAAAGAAGACACGTTGGAGTTGGAATCTCTGAAACCTGAACCAAACTGTCGCAAACCGGAAGCCGAGAACTACCTTGACGACAGAGATGCTCAACTCATTTCATGGCCGATAGCCATTCAAGTATCTGTGTTTTAAAATGATCTCCGACATTCAATATCCCTTGCTCAAGCATGAACTGTAGCCAAGAGGCCAAGAGATATGAAACCCTTATGTCTTATGGCGCACGCATGGACAATGGAACATCTTTTTTTTTGTGTCCCTAAGATATGATCCATGCAGTCCATGCATCGAATTGAATTTGAGAACATGTCAACGTGTTCTCTGCCGCTTTGTCGGCATCTTGCAAAGTTGCTGCATTTATTTGTTCTGCTTTTGCAGGCAGCAAGCATGCTTGGAACTTTGTGTAATGTTTTACTTGATTCCCAAGTGTAATCAAATAGAGGTTCACACAGCACACTTGTGATTGGCACATGACAATTGATCTTTGTGAAAGGTCATGGTCAAAGTAAGTGTAGCGGTAGAGGTGTGGTGTGAACATTCATAAGTGTGCCACCTCAGGGATCTTCTTCAATAGGAAGGCAGACCAGAGCATTGAACCTCACTGTGAAGACATAGAGTTGTGAATCAGGAATCACACACTCTCAACACTGGGTAATGACACTTTGAATCAAACTTTACTGAAAAAACAGCTCTGTAACATTCCCATGTGTGCAGCAGCTTGGTCTCTTGACTGGAAGCGCCGCCCACAAACAAGGTAATTGATGCAAAGCTCCGTTGCATTGACTGGTAGATGGCGAGCCAATCGCACCACGCTACATTTGGAATGTTTTTACATGCCACCGAAAGCGAATCTTTGAAGGAAGTGATGCGACCTAGGCATTTATGCTGACACAATAAATGATCGTACCGAATCGTACCTCTGATTTACCTGCACATCATACAAACCGTACCTTGAAATCAAGGGGATTCGTACCTATGCACCGTACCTGCTGTATGTTTGGTTCGTACCTGCATTATAGCTGCCGAACCACGGCATTCTTAAATCTACATAATATATATATATATATAATACATTATAAATAGTTGTACGTATATATATCTATATATATACGTATATACATATATATGTATATATGTATATATGTATATATATATATATGTATATACATATATATGTAAATATATATATATATATTATATAAGTATTTATGTAAATATATATGTATGTATATCAATATATATATATACATGGGTATACATCAATACATATACGAAAAACAAACAATGCATATACATTATATTCGTATCAAACATGCTTTCATTTCACAGCAGCAGGAACGTTCACTCCGTGCTGACTTGCAGACGTATCAAACATGTCAAGTAAATGTTGCTACGTTGGTGAATTTTTACTTGGGTAGCGATCATTGATTTGATTGCTGTTCGATGCATTAAACAACTCAGGCTGTGTTTATCTAACTACATCCACCATTTGGGTGTTTGTTTGGGTACAGTACACGATTCATCAAATGTGTGTTGTTTGTTTTCGAAAATCAAATCTAAATCAACCTACATGCAAATCACAATTGTGCCACTATAATGATAGTTGGTTTCTTGTTTAACCAAACACCATTGCACCAGAAAAAAAAGGCGCATCCTGTGTTTGGGAAACAAAACCAGCGCTGTGAATGGAACGATTCACCGATGTAAAACCATATGCACCATGGAGGTACTGTTCCTGCAATTTATGTTTATCAACTCCACATGTTCAAAGCATGTTGTCCTCAAGGTGAAAAACTGTTTGCAAATCAAATCACATTACATTTTTTTTTTTTGGTTGATGCACTTGCATCACCTCAGAAGTGCAATACCTGGCACGTGTTTGTTGCGCAAAAAATGATCAATCTCCGCGAGTCATTGGCCCTAATTGCCAAGCCTCACGGCTCGCATCAACACCTGCAGGATGCAGGAAAATGAAGAGACAAACACATGTAAAGTTGACTTTGAAATCAAACAGCACCCAAAATCTAACCCATGCCACATTAGTTTCAAACCAATGAACATTGTTTTGCAGATTTTTGTTCCAAAAAATGAAGGTTTTGTTTGTTTTTCCAAACGCCATCCACGACATCCGGCATAAAAAAGGGCCCAAAGGCGCGCCCTGCGCGCCTTTGGGGCGGGCGAGGGGCTATCCACGAACTTGTGGTCCAAGGGTTCATGGTCCTGCGGGGTGCCCCCATGGATTATGGAGAACCAGTAGTTACACATGTCCTCCATGACTGGCTGATGTTCGGTGAAAATGATGGTTGTTTCACGCATGGAGCCTGAGCTACAAAGTTACAAGCCAACAAACATAGGCGCAATGAAGTTTTTCATGTTGCAAGCACCGCGTTGCATACCATTGCATGTTGATTAGAGAACTTCCGGCGGATTCCGGCGGGTGCAAAATCATCATCCTTCGCCAGCTTGACATCATGTGATCTCAGCGCGTTTTGCCACAGTCAAACCATCATGCAATGAGCCCACAGGTTGCCATGAAACATGTCTTGGGCCATGCATCAACTTGGCGCAACAGTGGCATAAACAAACCACGGCCATCTCCTCATCGAAGGTGTCCAGGGCCAATGTTTCTGGCCGCGAAGTGGAAGAAGATGAGCCTGGCATAGCTGGGCTGGGTTCAGATGAGATCTTGCTTCCTTCCCTCCGTCGAATCCAGAATAACTTGGCTTCAAGCACCTGAGCACATCAAAGCATTTTTAAACGTCCGACGGCCCCAAATGCTTTGATACTTCCATTTTGATGTTCGGGATTGGATGATCTATTCCAGTGCCGCGCACCTTCTTACAAAACAGAACATGTCTTTAAACATTGGGCCTTATTTCACGTTTGCTTATATAGGCCCCCCTCAAAGAAATGTGTTCCCAATAGTTTCCCTATCTGTTGGCTCAAGCTAAGCGCCTAGAGCCAAGGGTCAAGCGCAGAGCCTTTGCCAAAACAGAACGTGCCCTTCCTGTCCTTTTCATATCCAGGCAAACGTGTCAACTTTCTTATGACGCAGCAGTTCCACTGCGATTTGCAACCAACTTTGCAAAACACCATAAGCACAGTTCCATTGCTCCAATAGTTAAATCATTGGACTAAAGTGCTGCGCATGAAAAATACTGTACTGCAAAATTGGATACTGAGTACATACTAGTGATTTGATCCTAAATCACACTTGGTCCAACAAACATACGACAAAAGTATGGAAGAATATGGAAGAGTAATCAAGTATATATGAGTCATATATTGTGATTCAAACTGGTTTGATTGTGGGACCATGTTAATAGGATGATCATCCCCCCTTGTAAGCAATCATATCGATGCTGCCGAAACAGCTTACCGTGGCCCACACAATTCCACTCATGATTTCTACTGGGTCACAAATTTCGAACAATCAATCCGTGCAAAATTAGTTGCCAAAATAACTTTGTGGGTAGCGACCTAACAAATCTGGTTCAGACCAGTGTGGTTTAGGATCTCCCAGTTGGAAACCCCCTTTTTGCGGCGGAAACCTACCTCAAATCATACCTAGATCCTAGAAACAAGCCAGTGGTAGACTTGCTTTCTACGATTCCCATCCTGAGGCTTCCAGACTTTGAGAACCCAAGAGCCAAGAAATTGGATTTCCAGTTCCTGGTTTCCACTTCCTCCGGTGTCAGATCACATGATACATCATGATACTATTGACCATCATGGATCTCAACTGCGCAAGTGCCCACCAAGTAATCCCGGCACTTCTTAGGGCCAAAGTCAGGCGAACTGTTCGTTGTCCCTTCTGAGCCACTGATTTCAGGTTTTTAGACGTCTGCAGTTCAAGTAAAATTATAGGTACAAGGTGGGGGGGCCCTAGATAGCTAAGTTGGTTGTTGTATCTTCAATAAGTAGGGTTTATGGGTATAAATAAATATATATAGAGAAATAAATATATAGATAGCATTATATATAGCTAGAGTCATTGGAGGTATAACTGGGGGGGCACCTTATTGACACTTTATGTGGTCGTTAAAAAAGACTCTACCATCCCCATGGGGAAGTCATGGTTTTTCGCAGTTCCCGTATTTGTGGCGAATCTTGGTGGTATGTTTGACCGTTTTGGCCTCAGAAAAATGATGGATTTCTCTGAAAAAAAAATCAATCCCTGAATCATGTGATGCTTTAGAGTTTCGAACATCATTTAAGTATATTTAAGTCCATATTTGGCCATTGACAATATGAAGAGTCCCATGTTCATCCATGTTCAGGGTATTCCAGCCCATGTTCAAACATCTTCGAACATCATGGGGTCTCAAGCTTGCCAAGCGCCACCAAGACATTGAGCTCTTGATGTCATCAGAAAACATGTGGATTTTTCACTGAAAATGGGATGCCCATGAAATCCAACGGTGGATCATTGTTTTTTCCTAGCTATTGTACCCTCTAAACGTACAAAAAACTATGGAAAATCACAATGTTTAATGGGTAAATCCACTATAAATGGCCATTCTCAATAGCTACGTTAAATTACCAGAGGGGTAACATAATTTGCCATCAACACTGGGGATAACTGGCGTATATCATCCCCCACTTTCAGACACACCCATGTTTTCCCGGCTTTCAATTTCTCCTTCTACCCGGCTGTCTGTACTAGGAAATCCCCAATAATCCACCGACGTATCCATTTTTGTTTAATGATTTTTCCATGAAAAAACAAGGGAAGTCTTCAATTGTCATGGTATCCATTCCCAAATGAATACCGTATCCCCAAAATCAACCGTCGTCTTGCGCACCAAGGCTTTGACTCCAAAACAGCTTCACAATTTTCAGCATGTGCATCAGACATGAGCCATTGGCTGGAAAATCCCCCTATAAATCGAGGTTCTAAATGGGAAAACCATCTACAAATGTTGTTTTTTTTATCCATCTGACTGACCAAAAATCTGCCAGATAGCCTCCGAAGATCCAAAAAAATTGGCGATCCATTCTGCCACAATCCCATGGTATTTGTGAATTCCTCCAACTCAAATAGGTTTACCCCCAGCGATATCACCATAGAATAACTCCCCATATCACCACACATCATGATTTTGTTCATATATTATTGATGAAGTCCCGACTTTCTAAAATGATGGTCAAATCCACCAAAATTTTGGGGCTTGTTGATTGAATCCCAATGTAGTACGGATCATGTTTGAATCTAAACCGGATCTTGGGGATTCTCGGGGACCATCATCCACCCCACCTCCAGTTTCCATCTGCGGGAGATGTTGGACCACGTAGAAATACATCTTCGGAGCATCCTCCTATGGCGAACTGCTGCTGGGTTCGATAATTATGTGCCGGCCGTGGTCAAGTTAATAAATCATAGGTTATTGTGGGTTATGTCATAATGATTAATAACAAAATAATACAAAATATGGTTAATAGTTAATAATCAACAATAATGTATGACCATACATTTCATAAAACTGGTGGGTTGTGGTCATACATTTCATTTCAAGGGAAGTGCATGAACTTCCCATTGAACATGGATTGATGACCATCCCCCAAACGAGGCAAAATATCCCAGTGACCTGGTAGCTGAACCGTTGAAGCAGAACAAGGGATATCATCGGGAGATCATGAGGATACAATGGGCATTTTTATTAGACGATACAACCTGATGTTTGGACTTGGTACCTATGGTGGAGTTGCCCTCTATGGCAATTGGGATGCTGGGGTAGCCTCTTTCTGGACGATCTGCCATGATCAGCCCGCAAACTCTTGCACCAAAGAAGCAGGGTGGATTTGGGTACTTTTTTCTATAGATCCTTAAGCTTCTAGCTACCTCATAGGTCACCGAGTTATCTTTACCGATGGGGATGGTGCCTGACAGCTAACTGAAAGGATACTGTGCATTCGATTCCCGCCCTCCTGGAGATGATATCCAATTTGATGCTGGTTTGTGGTATACCTACCCCTCTGAAAAATATGAGCTTGTCAGTTGGGATCATGACATTCCCAATCTATGGACAAAACATGTTCCCAACCACCAACCAGGATGCTTCTGAACCACTTTATGGTGCAAGGACTTTTTGGCTTTGTCACCACCTTTTTATTCGCGCCAAGACAAATCACCCGATTCGTATGCAAAATCGTGCGCCGTCTCAAAAAAATGAATATCCAAAATATGTTTTGTTCTTTCCGTATTGATAATGTTAATATGTGTTAATACTATATATAATACTATATATAATTGTTTATATTGTTTTATATTTATATCATTATCAATATTATCATACTGTATATTATTGGTATATTGGTCGTTCATCCTTTTTCTTTCTGTCATCTCACTTGAGTCTCCCATCACCACCGAAGACCACAGCATCTCTTCCAGCCTGCGGCACTCCCGGCACTCCCGGATCGCAGCCAACGGTTGATGTCTGCTGAACGCTGCCCTGCCAGAAACAGTAGCAAAAGATCAATCATATGGATGTGTTTGAGAATGTCGGATATCCACTCTATGTATACATGTATAGATATCTCTATATATATATATATATATGTATCTATATATATATATACCTATATAATATATATATATATACAATTAAATTATATTATAATATATCATAATACTATACGTCCATTTTGATAGCTATCAACCATGGTAAACCAGCAATGTATATTCATATTCAAATTTGACCAATGGGTGTTTTCCCCTGATTTCTGAGACAAAACCGTATGGGTCTGAGTGAAAAGATAAGACCTAGGGGACGAAAACGGTTTTGGTCCTCCTTCTTGGGCAGAATCCAACTATACTGAGCTACTATCGGTGGGGGTGGTCCCCAAATGATTTGTATTTTACAAGCAAAACTTGTGATTTAGTGGGGTCGGCTGGAACTTGAGGATTTAAGAGTAATAAGATTTAGATAGCGAAGTTGGTAAACATAACTTGGTGAATTCGAGGCATGATGGGGGATATAGCTATAGTTATACAGTTATACTCTGTTTATAAACCAACTTGGCATTTCTGAAATTTGGGGGCCTAGTTGAAACCCGAAAGACGTGGAAGCTTTGGGTGGTGTTGTGTTTTTTTGTTTCACACCAGCACTCACAAAAGCGGTCATGTATTCAAACCAATCTTCCAACCCTCTCTTTGGCAGGGTCTAAGTTTGGAGATAATGCTCAATTTCTTCAGCTTAGCCCAGCTGCAGGTGAAAAAAAATCCCTGTTCATCAATCCAATCGACATCGGCAACCTAAATTTGTCGTGGTTTATATCCCCGTTAGATCCCCATATAAATGATTGTCCAAGACTTGGTGTATACCCCCACTATAACAACTATCCCCAATATAATTCATATGAAACAAACTTCCTCATTATTGCTTCTTTCGCTGTTTTAGTGGGGATCGTTATTTACATTTAACCCCAGTATATAACCACTTGGTGATGGTACCATGACTATCCAATGGATCATTCCAGTTTTTGGTTTTTGAAAACCATTCAATTACAATGTTTATTCATCCATATGAATTCAAATTCCTTGTGCTTAAGTGTCCTAAACCATGCTCAAAATACTTAAATACTTCCTCAGAAGCTACGGCTGGATACATAAAAGCTGGGGAGCCAGTGAAATGTTCCTCCAGAAACCCGATCATGTGAAAACCAACTTAGCCCGAAATCCGGATTGAACACCCAGGAAAAAAAAAACATGCATCCGCCATAAACATCCCATGAATTCACCGTAACTCCATAACTTTCCAGGAAACGCCCACATCATCAACGGCCTGAAGTCGTGCCGCCTCCAGCTGTTCTTGAAGATCTTGAAGCTGTTCTTGAAATCGACGGCCTCGAACAAATCCAACAACGCGAGGCCTAACCCAGCCAAACATTAAGCTTAACATTAGGTTTCCCCTAGGGATATAAACGGATACATACGGATACTGAAATATAGGCATATACGTATCAATATAATGCATCATCATGATTTTAAATGATGTTAAATGGTGATACATCGTGTGACATGATCAACAAACATGGTGATACTGTTTGATAATTTAGCAGTTTGCTGTGATTTTGTTTTAAAAAAATCACATTGAACTACCTGGAAAGCCATACCCTCTGGTAAACTAACATAACTATGGAAAATCATCATGTTTAATAGGAAAATCCACTATAAATGACCATTTTCAATAGCGTTTTTGACATAACCAGAGGGTAATCCATGGTTTTTTGTCAAACGCTACGGCTTTGATCGCCTGGAGCCACTTTTGTGTGACAGTTGCTATGGCTTTTTAAAAGGCCTGGATTTTCAACGACAAAAGTCGAACAAATACGGGACTTTGCTACGGGTAGGATTGAGAGCTGCTACGGCTTTTTATGGTTTTGTTGAAACAAGATGTTGAAAAAGTGCGGTTTTGCTATGGTTAGGGCTGCAATGTTCTTCTGATTTGACCATTTTTGTTTGGTCATTACGGGTAAACAACAATATTTTACTAACAAAAACTAATCGTTACGGTTTTTCCCATAATGACCAGAACATTTTGTGTTTTTGGTTTTCCAGGTATATAAACAGGCAATTTTCCCTCGCTATATTAAATTGCCAGGGGGTAACAAACGATTCTTTTTATGTCAAGTTTCCATGTTTTTTTCCCAAATGTTAATTGAACATGATTTAATCAATCGGAGTTGGGATGTCGATGATGTTGAACTTTGATTTGCTTGCATTTCAATATTGGATTTCTTCAGTGACTATAGCTTGCAATCTGCAGACCAAAACCAGGAGGAATCCCAGGCTACAGTTTCTATTCATAACATATTTCATGTTACCTTCCCAATCTGCCCAGATTTTTCAGAATCATCCCTTGTTCATATTTCTAATATTCAACAGCCCCTTAATCGTTCGAAACACCATGGTGGTTTTTTGCTTGGAATTTCCACATCATTGGGTCCTCCCAGAAGGCTGAAATAGTCATAGGCAGTACTCCAAATTCACCTGGAAACCCGACCCGAGAAGCTTTGGCACATGTTGCTTCCCTCTTCAATATGGCTTTGTCGAACAGAGTACCCCAAAAGCCCATATGGTTTGTTTTTTCGGTGCTATGCATTAGATATACCCATTTGCAGCCACACCCAAATATCGAATTATATTCCCGTTAATTGTTAGTGTATACTTGTTTGTACGGTCTTTGCCGTACCTTGTTATACCTTCATTGTTCCATATTCACTGTTTGAATCCCTATTATTCATTGGTTAAGTTACTATTTGTCATGTTATGTAATGTTTCAATCCAAATTGTTCATGCTTAATTCCACCAAAATCATTTTTTTTAAATCCAACATATTTGGTGGTATTTCCCTATATTGCCTATGCTTAACGTCCCACAACCATCTCCATCCCCATCCATAAAAATGCCCTTGAACTCCACCTGCATCCGATGTAAGACCCAACTCTTGTGCTGCCTCCGGCAATGACACATGGTTTGCTGGAAAATCCACCAATTATGCCATTTATAAACTGCAAACAGATGTTATCCACTATGAGACAAGGGCATGAATTGCATAATATGTTAACTGTATGGATGTTATCCACTATTATAGACTATTTTCGATTATTTGTATGTTTACTGATTTTTACTAAACAGTTCCCGTTGAGACACCATAGTGGAAAAATATGTTATCCACTATGGTGTCTCATTGAAACACCATAGGAATGAAAAATGATGTTCCGAATGTAAAACACCATTAATAGTGGATATTCAATTACCACGTCTTGATGACCAGAGGTGTATAGTAGAACATGCTGGCTTTAGACTTTAGATGGACTTAACTAAGCAACATCAGGTGATGGTGTATTTTTGATGTACTGGTAGATAATAGAAAGCTACGGCGCTGGTTCTGAGGAAAAACGACGCTACGGTGAACACATGGTGATGGGATGTTCACATCGATGTTCATGGGATCAACATGGGATTTCTTCATCGAATCGGAATCCTATTAAGATGACATAATATATATCCCTATTAAGGGATTCATGACAATTCCCTAAGATGGGTATGTATGACGGATTGTCAAAATGTTGTAAAACCTTGTTTGGTTGATAAATCGTAATTCCTTGCGTGCCGCTTCTCGTTTGGTCTTTAAACTACGACTTATCTAAATAGTCTGAAACCCTGCATTTTATCTTTCATGTTTGAAGTCGTAGCTAAAACCTGCAGTAAATGCTAACGCACGTCTGTATGAAGTGGTTTATTACTGGTGGAACTGGAAATCTGCAGGGCTTGTCGTTGCCTGTGCCGTCACTGTTGCTTTTGTCAAACAGCGACTGGGTCACGGGTCAGCCAAAGCCGCTTTTTGAAACCTTTGCTAGTGCATTGCTAGCGGGGATCTAGCCGGTAAATTACGCACAAATTCGCATTTTTTTTTAGCCGCAGCCTCAAATATAGGAACATTGTTTTGAGTAGCACAGAATTTCACTAAGACATCCTTATGAGTTTTAAGAAGCTAATTACATCTTGATTTTTATTCATGTTGAAATAACAAGCGATCAGGAACACATTTAAAAAAATGGGTGTGAAAAAAAAATAGCGCAAACCTAGCGGGTTTCCTAGCGTTGCCTTGCAGAATTGCTGAATTTAGCTGCGTGCCGTCTCATAACGAAGAGGACAAAACACTAGGTCTAAATTAACTACCAACAACTGTGGTCATATATATATATATATATAATCATCCAACTATGCTCAAGTAAATGTGGAACCCCCAAATCAGTAGATTTACCTACATTAGTCGAAGGATTAAACGTATGATCTAAATGATATCCATTACTTAAACGTCATTAGATAATTAAATGTTGAACCATCAGTAAAATAGATTAACGTACACGTTAGTGATAGTTTTATATCAATCCACTACTTTATCGAATGATTATTGCAGGTGGAAGTGAATTACCTGCATCTTTTTTGGATCATTATATGAAAGGTGCCCCACCCCCCTTCTCCCACCATAAAAAAAAAACAACCCCCCCAAGCTCTCTGAGAGTCTGGGCAATATGGATTAAGATATGTGGGGATACCCCTAAATAAATGGACGGTTGATATACATATATATATATATATTATATAATGGAAAATCCTATTATAAATAAATATGGATGAGAACTGGAGGTAGCCCTATGACTTAGGAAATCTCCTCCATGTTGCTGATCATATAACAATGAATCAAACTGGAACATGTTCGCGAACATTGTGAAAGAAATTGATGACACGGTCCACCAGGTGTTGTATGCATTTCACAGAGTAGAGTGTCTTTGCGCTATTTGTTGTCTGTAGATCAGGTCCTATCAGGTATAGTAAAATGATGTCTATCAGGGATGTAGACTTTTTGACTAAATATAGTAACATGTCATAACATAGATTGTCAATAGAAACTACCCTCTGGTAAACTAACGTAACTATGGAAAATCACCATTTTTATTGGGTAAATCCACTATAAATGTGCCATTTTCAATAGCTATGTTAGTACCAGAGGGTACATCATTGTCAATAGAATCCCCATCACGATGAAGCGGGAAACCAAGAATTGATATTACAACAATAAACAGGATAATGAATAAACATAGATGTGGACAATCCATGACTTTCCAAGGCAATGATTTGATCAATAAATGGTGGATTGTTTTCATATCTATGTTCATTCCTGTCTATCTATCTATTTGTCTACCTATTTATCTGTCTAATTTGTCTATCTTCTGAGGCATCCACGTCATGCGGCAATGGAAAGACCACTGGAGATGCCTTGGTGAGGCATGGGGAAGACCATGAGGATTTCTTCGGCCAAAATACAATGGAAAGCGGAGATGAATCTTTTCAGAAATGCTGTGTGCACTGAAATAAACTCGCCCTGTTGAATCAATTGTGGTGAACTAACATAACTATGGAAAATCACCGTTTTTTTCATGGGTTAATCGGTTAACCAACTATGTTTATGGTCATTTTCCATAGCTATGTTAGTTTACCGGAGGGTAAATTGCGGTGATAAACATCTGGTGATGTTTTTTGTTCCCTTCCGGTCAAGTCTAGGCATCAGAAAGGACTCGGCTGACTGGGTCCCAGGGGCCTTTTACGTGAAATGTGGCTATCATTTATCTGTGGCTTGTCCATTGACGCCAACATGGAGATTGCCAACCTTTTCTTTCATCAAGCAAGCTTGTGGGACAGCACATCCATCTGGACATATCTGGACAACAACTCAGCAATCTGAAATACTGTAACTCTAGTTTGGGATAGCTACCCCAGTCCAGTGCACATCATATAAGTGACATCGCGACGCGAGGTCATTATAATCTACTCAACCACATCTTGATGGCTGTATAGATCCCCAATTCTTGCTGGTTGATCGGATAAACACACATTTTTGCGAGGTTAAATCATGACACGCCATGACGGCTATCTTTGCTGATTTCCTGAACATATCACCATCAAAATCGTTGCGGGGGCTCTGCCCAGCCGTGCCCACGATTGCCCACATTGCCCACGGCCTCTTTTTCGGCAAGTTGATCAAACTCCATCTGTCAATGTGAGCAGAATTTCGAAGAAAATACTGATTGATTAGCCTTTTCAAAACAGTCAGCTCCATGGCTTGCTGGACAATGCCCCAATTTAGTTCGATGGGCTTCCATTTGTTGATTTCTGGAGGGTATCAGTGATTTAAAGTACCCATCTAACTATCAGTGTACGTCACTTGGGAATCATGATCACCAAAATGCATGACTTGCGTGACAACCAAAGCTGTTAAAAACTGCCAAAGAGTCTATGACCCCCTGGGTATCTCCGATTGATCTAGCAGTTGAAAGAGAAGCGTAGCAAAGGCCAAAGACTAAACAAGTGGTAGCTGTGATAGTGCTGGTGGCCATCAAACGTCGATATCAAATGATATCAAAACATCAAAAACCACCATTAAACACATCAACATTTGCATTTTGTTGATACTTATCCGCCGGTATATTATAATCTGAAATGACCATGACAGATCCTCCATTTTGCTGCATTTAACTCGTTTTGCGAAGAAACGTGGAAGTTGTCCTCTTCTACTGTTAGATTGCCTGAGAATAACCGAGAAGTGGGTGATCAAACCAACAATTTGGATTCAACCATATTTCAATGGATTGGTTGAAAAAAACATGAAATCTACAGGGAAACCGTGGTGTTTGCCCGCATTTTTTTTGGGAGGTGTAAATTGTCCCATCATCCAACTCAGGGAGGATTGAAACCTCCTGAGAAATACAACTCACACCCCCGAATCAGACCCCGACATATTGTCAGAAAAAAAAGGCTGGATCCATGTGGAATAGATTGGAATAGTACCATCTAATCCATCTGCCAACTTATTACTCAACAACGTACGAACTCACGGAACAAATCATTCGCCAACTTGTTTGAACACTGGTCCACATATGGTAAAACCCAAAACCGTTCCCATAAAAACCTGGGTTTACCATGACAGGTAACCAACAAACAAGTCACCCAACCACATACATCATTTAATCCAAACAAAAAACACATGATTTCATCACATTTCAGCAAAAAAGACCATTAATCTCAATTGATAACCATAAGTCACTGGCTGGTTCCCAGCTCTTCAAAAAGTTTAACTTCTGCTTTTTTTTTCCATGTATAAATGACCGGTCTCTCACCCCAAAAACAGAAAGTCAACCCGGACTCGATCCAATGAAAGCCTCCACTTCTGGATCGGAACCGAGGTGGTCCTCGGGGCCGATGCTAGGGCCATGCTCCACCTGGCCGTTGACCGAGGCCCATCATGGCCTGCAAAACATAGGTAATTTATGATCTGTAAATGGGCCATGGCTTCCTAGATTTCCTAGCTAGGTAAAAAAAAAAAAACATAGGGGAAGAGTATGAGCCCCCAAAGGGGGAATGCGTTTATTATAGAGAAATTGAAGGTCTCGCAGTCTCGCTACAGTATTTAAAACAGTTATATACATAGACATGCATTAACACAGAGATATCAGAATATCTGGGTGCTTCTACAAGGGTGAAAAAACAAAAGTCCTCGCAACCCATGTTGGTGATTTTCTACCGTGACCAGCTTTTCCTGGTATACCCCAAATTACCCTTCCATTCCCTTCCCATATTTGATGTGCCCCAAACATGTGATTGGGAGTACCATGAACAAGACCTGTGTACCCAAGATTTGAGTATAATTATAATTGTGATCCTGCGGGTCAGGGCTTTTTGCCGACATTCTTCGCAGTACGGATAGCAAATGTTGTGAATATCAAAACAACGATGATAATATCCATTAAAACAATCAACTTGCGACAAACATCATGGTTGCTGCATGAATCATATATGTACGCGTTCTCCATCTTTTGGATTATCATGGATTATCAACATGCAGATGGTATTGAAATGTATTGAAGCATCAACATCTTGGATATCTCTGGGTAAATTATAATATTTCACTAACCTGAATTAAGGCCATTTTGGGATGATTCCCCTTACTAACTATGATTATAGTGAGGTCGCAGTGAGGTCGTTATAATTTACTCAGATATCTGGGATGTTTGATCAACTTGGATATCTGCACTGGCCAGTTAGCTGTGGGATCACCTGGGATCACCTGCCGGTGCAAAGCCATGGGATTTGAATCTGGAGTTTCCATGAACATTTTCAACAAAAACCCTGAAGATATCATATATGTTCAATATACCCCCATATTTTCCATATTTTCATGGGATTTGAAGATCTATCTTCAATATACCCCATCAAAAAAACCCTCCAGCAAATGTACATATCAATGGACAATCCACCGATCATTTCCAACGGTTAAACCAGGGGATTTTCCATCGCTGGTGAACTGCCCATCGGAGCCTCGCTTTGGCCCTGGCCAGGTAGAGATCAAAATGGAGATCCATGGAGATCGATAAGGAAAAAACGTGAAGATCTAGAAAGCAAATGTTGGTGTAATGAAAAAAAACACAATTTTCAGATCCATGTTAACCATGGTGTATATATATAATATGTATAATATTGTATAATATGCTAAGATTTGTCTGTTTTGCGTCGATCCAATCGCAGAGGGCAATGATATATGATGATATATGCTGCAGGTTTTTGAAACAAAGTCACCCAACACACAAAAAACAGATGTACCCTCCGGTAATCAGACATGGCAATTACTGTAACAATCCCCGAACTCAATGGTGATTTTAATTGAAATTTGTCAAGCATAAAGTACAAACGGTAGATTTTCCATTGCCGAGTTTGATTACCAGAGAGGACCGCTGTTTCTTTCTAGCATCAACTATCTACAGTAATCCCAGCCCGATACCTTTATTCCCAGTATTGACTCACTCCTCCCAGCGAATTGTTGTTGGATAACAATCATCAAATCCGTTCAAAATCCCGAAACAATACCTTCAAGGAAAACATTGCAGGCAAGCACACATGTTGATACTCAAATTCACATTTTCCTACATGAACATTTGCATCATGGCTGATCCTAGACTTCGGGACAAAATATGATAACATATGATTCTTAAGCCTTTGAGCAACAAAAAATAGCACGGTGTTCAGTATCATGGCAACAAAATGCAGTTGACCTTTTCTTCAACAAACGCTTTTAGTGATAAAGCCCCAATGATTGCTGGTGAACATTCATTTCTTCATGGTTGAACGCATTCCAAACCGTTGTTGATATGGCTACGGGTCAAAACCCTGTTACGCTTCGCTGGCAGCTATGGACGTTCATCATACAGTACCCATATCCCCATTGCCCATGATTGCTGGTGAATACAGGTTGGTTCAATTCTTCATGGCTGAAAGCACTTCAAACAGGTTAAGATTCTATCCCCATAAATCAAGTTGCTGATATTTGATTATATCACCATAAATTAATGAGAAATAACACTGCATAAAATCCCAGTATTATCATTTAAATCCCCACTAAATCCAATTCAAGACAATTAAATCCTATTAAATCACCATTTTTCACAGTTCAATCAGTTCAATCCACATATTTCATGGATAAATCATTCAAAAAATCCAACTTTTTAGAAGTTTTTTCCAGTTAAAAATCCACCATGTTTTTTGCTTCAAGTCCACATAGTTTTCATTGTGAAAAAGTCGACCATGTTTTCATGGTTAACTTTCCCATGCCAAGATGGTCACCATGCCCTGTTAAGCTCGCCTCGATGTCACAAGAGGCCACGCGCCTCGGATGTCGAGACATGGTGATTTTCATGGGATTTATAGGTGATTTATAGGGATTTATAGGTATTTATAGGGATTTGCTGGTGATATAATGGATAATACCCTCTGGTAATGACTAACAGTTTGCTATTGAACATGGCCCAGTCGAAATACAATGGATTTAGCCATTGTAAAGGCGGTGATTTTCCATAGCTATGCTAAATTACCAGAGGGTAATGCAATCTTTTATGAAATTGAATGGAATCTGTTGGAATTAAATGGAATTTCATTGGTTGTTGATTTAGAGAACGCGAAGTTCACACACACAAAACTTAAGGTTAATGTTTGGCTTTATGGGGCAATTTGAATGTTAAGGTAGTGAATGGTATTTTGTAAAGCGTTGTACTGAACATCCTGAGTGTTCGGGTTGTCGAATATAAATGTGTTTAACATTATGCACTATATTTGCATACATAATTGATTGACTATGTACCCGACACTAATTGGAATTTGGTTCCAAAATCCAATTTGGAATCATGAACACACATTCTCATAATTCCAAGCGATTCCTCATTAGTTACACGACATCTCAGAACATAAACCTGGCTTGGAAAGAATCATCTCTGAAGGATTGATCAGCTAAATCACCATGCAGTTGAGCATGATTGTGAATCAAAGAATCGTCCCAAGAGGATTATTGATTTTGCATTTCTATATACATACATACATACATACATGCATTGCATTGCATTGCATTGCATTGCATTGCATTGCATTGCATTGCATTGCATTACATTACATTACATACATACATACATACATATCATATAAATTCACATGTGTATATATATATATACATACATGCATACATGACATACATACCAAAAAAAACATTATATGCAAAGGAAGGTGTGCCGCGCGAATCAAAGGAAGGTAAACTATGATTCATTGGACATATGTTTTCTTTCTGGGAAGCATCATATGGGTATTGAAGGGTCGAGTGATTCAGCATGTTGTGGTAACAATAATGGTTTGAAACTAAGAACATTACCCCGGCAATGGTAGCTACTTTACATAGCACTTGTACATCACCATCATCATGATCATCATCATCATCATCATCATCATCACAATCATCATCATACATCTACTCAGCACAATTCATTGCACATATGTTAATTCCAACATAGTTCACATAATCTACATCAAGTTCAATATTACAGTATTCTGATCAAAATCATTCAGAAACCATGTGTAATCTCAATACATAATACTATATATACTATATATACTACCAATATATACAGTACATATATAGGGTGGAAAATCCCTCCACGAAGACTCCGGTACTGCTGAGCTTTTGGACAGAACGTCCAGGTCGAAGGGCCGTACGGCACCTCTCCGTAGATGTGCCATGGTCAAGTGTCATGAATGAAATCATGGGATAATGACGGGATTTTAGTCATATATCATTGATGATTATCAAAACATGACGGATTCTTAACGGGGGACTATCCCGTGAAACTTATCATAATTATCAACCATGATACAAAAAAAGGATGTGTAACAGATTCACAAAAGGGATTTACTAAATCATGAACAATGGGGACTTCACATGTTTTAACCATTTTAACCGTTACTAAGATCCCATGGAAAAAAAACCTTGGTTTTTATCTAAGGATGGTCATCCCGGCAGTCCGGTTTTTCGTCCAGTTCCCAGTGAGGTCGGTGATTTTTTTGGATCCTTAAATATAGTGCATATCCCATAGGATCCATGTATCTGGGTAAATGATTATATTTCACTAACCTGAATTAAGGCCATTTGGGGATGATTCCCCCTACTAACTATGATTATAGTGAGGTCGCAGTGAGGTCGTTATAATTTACCCAGATGTATGCTATATATGGTGACATTTACCATCCATATAGCCCAAATGTTAGCATATATACCATACATGGATCCTATGGCATATGGGTGGTTCCCTGAATGGATTCCTCTATCGGTTATATTGGGATTATTTGGGATTAATTATATGGAATAATGGATGGGATCATAGATGGGATAATGGATGGTTATATGGGATCTGGTTGGTGGTTGACCTACCCCTCTGAAAAATATGACTTCGTCAGTTGGGATTATGTATATGTAAAAAACATGTTGAAACCGCCAACCAGATATATGTTGTGCATATGGGTTCCCGGAATAGGGGTAGCCTAATCGGAATCATAATAGACTAAATATGACCCCAAAAAATACTTTAGCATTGTATGTAGAGCAATATGTATGTGTATGTATGTGTATGTATGTGTGTGTGTATGTGTATGTGTAGTTGTCCTATGAGCCATTTTTCACAAATTCTGAAGTGGCGAAGTGGGAATGGGGACCTCGGTGACCTCCAGCCCTTCCTCATACAGGGCTTAGCACAGCCTGTGCTTGGTGTTTTTCTGGCCGGGTCTCCCACTGTAGATCGACTCAGGCTTGGGCCGCTAGAGTCTAGACAACCTCCTCTTGCTGCTCAAAAGGGCCCCCACAAGTGGGCTAGCTATATGGAAAACAGCCCAATAAAAAAAGTTCAATGATTTAGGTATCAAACACAGGTGATTTTCCGCAACCTCTTACCAGATGGTATTCCGAGTTTATACACATGTTTTTTCCCGTTATCCATTAATCAAATCATCTTAAATCACTAGATTCATGGTTAGATTCCATTAAAAATACAAAAACAATCCCATGCAACACAGGGTAAATACCAGAAAATCTAGTTGGTGTTGGTGAATCCCAAAACTTTAGGTGTCACTTCCAATGTTTGAGTCTTTAAACCCATATATAATTCCAATCAAGTTACAATTATTTTATGAATTCCAATCTTTTGATGGTGAAATCCCCATGTGTCAGGGATAAATCCTTAGAACATCCTTATAAAATCCATCTAAAATCCATATAAAGTCATACAAATCATTATAACATCACTAAATTCCTAGTCAAATCCCTATAGAATGACTCAAATCCTATCTTTCATCCCAGTAAAAATCATCCAAGATCCCTCCATTGAAATCCCTGGGAAGCTCTGCCAAGGTGCCATTGCCCAGGTACACCAGCACCGTGAAGTTCTGCAGCTGCACCACTCGGCCGATCCAATGGCCGACCTCCTCCAAACCATGGCCGATCCGGGGCTTCGAGGCTTTTGGTTTTGGGGATTTCCTGGGAAGTTCACCAGCCAACTCTTGGGGTGTTGGTTTAGCCCAGATGCGAACCATGGTGCTGGAATATGAATCCCAACATTTGCCCTAATTAAAAATCACCCAGTTTTGTAGGTAAATATACCAGCACCATGGTTCGCATGGTTTAGTGAGATTTTGTCTCTCCTGGAGTCCGTCATTATCGACGAGAATATGAGATGCCTGCCTGCAAGGTATACTTAAATGAGGGAAAAAGAATGAATTAGTTCGATTGAACGATTTATACTATGCTTCTTTCACCAAGAACATATGAGATGTTCACCAACAAATAATGACAAATATATGGGAGTTCCACCAACAAATATGGCGTTTCATGGGGAGTGCACGGGCACTTTTTTGTGGATTTAGTGGGATTTCACAATGTTAAACTATGGATTTATGTGGGATTTTGATTTACCCGTTAAACTTACAAAATCTATAAGGACGTAGCCAGCTGTTTGGATGGGGTTTACATGTTTTGTGGTCATGTTCTATTCTATTGCGTGCGATTTATGTGTGATCATGTTTTGTGATTTCCAAAAAAAAATGACACAAAAAAATCGGAAACAAGAACGACGTTTCAGGGCGGAACAAAATGAGGCTACCAACATGTAGCAAGATGTTTGGTGAGTCAAAACCCTGGCACCCGGATGGTACCCGTTGAGTCATAGCTGGTAGGATGTTGATTCCCCCCATATGGATAAACATGATAAACATGATAAACATGATAAACATGATAAACATGATATACATATATATATATATATAATTATATATATAATTATATATATATATACAGATATCTCCCATATTCTCCCATTATTATCCCATGAAATCACCATTTTAACTTGTATTTCCTTAAAGGGTCACCCAATGATGGTAGATTTCCCGGGAAAATAGAACATTACCGACTAAACAAAGCCAAATCCCATCCAAATCCAGGTGAATCCCATCCATAAAATATATAGATCTATAGATGCTAGGTAAATCCCACCAAATCACCATGAAATCCCCATTCAATCCCAATACCCTCTGGTAAACTAACATAACTATGGAAAATCACCATTTTTAATGGGAAACTCACTATAAATTGCCATGTTCAATAGCTATGTTAAATTACCAGAGGGTAAATCACCATTTGAATCACCATTTCCCTGCGCTTCCGGTCCGGTACCAGGTAGGGCGGGATGAAGACGATGTCGCCCAGCCGCAGCTCGAAGTAGGGATGCGGAGCCAGTTCAAAGAGACTCACCTGTACAGCATCTGACGACGTGAGAGGCTCGGAGTTATGGATGTCTTTGGAACGTAGAGATATAGATATGTTCATAATTATAGTGTTTCATTTATAAGTTTATAATGATATAATGTGATATACATGTAGATATAGATATATGGATATATAGATATAGATAATATTAGATACTCCCTTCCCCCTATTACTAACCCCCCTCAAATAATAAAACTAGGGTCCGCGTTAAATTTTGGCAAATTTCAGACTGGCAAATTTGATTTTTAATTGATCCCCTTTCGAAAACAATTAAAAAAGGAAGCTAACATTTGTGGGTTTCACCCCCTAATAATAAAAACTAGTCAGCCCTGGGGTGTTTTTTTATTAGGGTCCGTCTTTTAAGGTCGAACCCATATATATTAGGGTTTTTAATTTGATATTAGGGGAAAGCTTCGAAATCCAATTTTTGGCAATATTTTACTTAGATTTAAAAGGAAATCTAATCGATTTTGAAATAGAAAAAACTAGTTTTTTATATTAGACTTTTTAATTTAGTATTAGGGGGAAGCTTCGCACCCTAGTACTAAATACCCCTAATAATAAAATTGGGGGGGGGTAGTCTTAGGGGGAACGGATTATAGATATATATATATATGTATATATAGATAATATTTTAGTTATATAAGAATATATATATATTCTTATATAACTATGAGCATGGATTATGGCATACAAATGATCTGTCTCTCTTACATTCTATTACAGGGTTCCCAGACTTTTGAGAGTTTATGTGTATATATATATTATATCAAACTCATAAATATCCATAAAAGACAGCTCAATTTAGAATCTAGGACCATCCACTTTACATAAAGTCAAACCCAGATTGTATGAATAAACCCTCGCTTGTTGATTAGGGGCCAACATTAATCGGGGATTGACGGGATTTATATAAGACAAATAAGCCTCTGGCAACTTAAGATGCTATTGCAAGTGACCATTTATAATTTATCGTTGATTTCCCTATTGAACATGGCAATTTTTCATAGCAAACTGCTAATTCCGTTTACCCAAAGGGTAAACCAACCCATCTACTGGCGCGTAGACATTGGACGTCCGATCAACCAGGCTGGTTTTGAATGTGTTCACACATAGCGATTCAAGGCTTGGTAAGTAAAGGAGCCATGTGTGCTGTGATCACGCTCCGCTGATGTGTGACATGGATATACCCTCTGGTAATTTAACATAGCTACTGAAAATAGCCATTTATAGTTGAATTACCCATTAAACATGGTGATTTTCCATAGCTATGTTAGTTTACCTAGGCATGTTGAGCATTCCTCTGTGCAACGAAGTGTTTTTGGCAGCTGATGGAAACCATTTGGGTCTGAATGGTGGGTCGACCCCCGTTTGTTCATGCCATTTCTACTGCGAAAAATGATGAGAAACCCATGGGTAAAGCATCAATTTCGTTGGTACCCACATCAGACTTTTGATTTTTCCCCCCATGATATCCCCATTATTGCTGGTTTATCCGATATCCCCATAACTTTGTTAAACTTCGTTCGTCCAACTGCTTCTCCGTGTCTTCAATTTGGAAACCATTTGGCTGGTCAAAACATGTCAAAACACTAGCCTGGTGACCCCAAAAAATAGCTTGTGATGACTCCGGCGTGGGGTCAGGAACAGAAGGGGCCAGCATTCTTTGGGCATTCTTGTGATTCGAAACCATCAAATACCCTCTGGTAAACTAACATAGCTATGGAAAATCACCACCTTTAAATGCGAAAATCCACTATTATCCACTATTTCTCTGGCCACTTTCCATAGCTTTTTGTATGTTTACCAGAGGGTAGCTGGTGATGTTCCTCCCCCTTCCCAAACAAAAGGGCTGGATCCATCCCGAAGCCACGCCTCCTGCGGGCTTTCACGATGCGAACATCTCCACTCCACCACCGCTGTGCGCGCCTGACGAGGGATACACCATGGAGATTTGATGGCAAAAAGAACATGGGATGTATCCACAACATGTGATTATAGACATATAACACAGTGTATACTTAAATATGAATGATACGCATGAATGTATAGACTTGATATATCAAACGAAAATAAGTCATAATAAGATATGATGGATTCTAAGCCGAAACCAATAGAATATGTTTTGGGGGTCCGCCAGAAATCAAACAACATATCGTGAACAAATTGGCAAACGGGGTATGGTCACATTCAAGATGATGCCAAGTGGTTTCTGGAGATTCTTTCCATCCAAAAACAATTTTGTCATGCCTCAATTATGATATCTGGAACGCCAAACAACCAAAAATAACTTGGGCTTTCTCTATGGTACTGAAGAATCCGTACAGAATAGATGGCTGTTTGTATAATACCCTCTGTGGTAAACTAACATAACTATTATGGCAAATCACATTTTTTCATGGGAAAATTCACTATAAATGGTGATTTTCCATAGTTATGTTGGTTTACCAGAGGGGAATTACCACAAAAAAATCAAAAACTGTGGTCCCTGGGTCTGAAATTCTGACACAAACGGCACTTGACGGCCCGCACCGATCCTTTAAGTCCACAGTTTGGACCACGCCAACGGGCACCCGTGGTGGAAGCTGGGAAAGTCCCTGGGCACGCAGCGACCCTTCGGTATGTTCTCAGAGTGAAAGTGTAGGAAACCCCATTAGGTTGGTGGTTTCAACCCCTCTGAAAAATATTAGTCAGTTGGGATTCTTATTACCAACATATGGAAAAATAAAACATGTTCCAAACCACCAACCAGCCATTGTATTGTTGAATAATAACCCATGGAAACCAGTGTGCATCATGAATTATAAGTACACATGTTTTTTTGTCAGCTTCATATCGCAGAAAAGGCTATGTTAACCTATAGGATTTGCGCGGTTAGTGGCACGTGGTGTCAGTCTGCCAGATGATTCATCCCCATCTGGAGGTGTCCTAAGTCATAAACTGCGGGCTACCCCATAGCTAGCTGGATGATGAAATTAACTAATACGGGTAATTTGAGGGTACAAAAATAAAGGGTACCCCTATGACTTGGGAAACCTCCATATATCATAATATATCAGATATATCATGATATATCACTATATCTCCCAATGATATCCCACAGAATTCACCTTAAGTTACTTAACTCAACTTCGCTATCTAAGTCCCAATTACCCTCTGGTAAACATACAAAAAGCTATTGAACATTGCCATAGAAAAAGTGAATTTTCCCATGAAACATGGTGATTTTCCATAGCTTTTTGTATGTTTACCAGAGGGTAACGGTGACATGACTACCATCCCATCGTTTCAACGACATGGACCCACACGACTCGACCGCACCTGCCGGGGTCCGTTGCTTGGGAGGATCTCCTTGAGGCGGGTGCATCGAAAGTCAGCGTTGGTAGTAACGCTGGGCTTCCAAGTCATCAAACCTCAACTATAATGGCTATAGTAGTTTATTGGTTATAACTTATAACTATGTTGTAACTGGCTATTCTAAATGGGATTACCCTCTGGTAATTTAACATAGCTATGGAAAATCACCATTTTTCATGGAAAAAAATCCACTATTTCTATGGCCATTTTCAATAGCTATGTTAAATTATACTATAACCCATATGCTCCATGTATGGCATATATGGTAACATAAAGGAGGCATATTGATGGGATCCATGTTACCATATATAGCAGCACCATGGATCCTATGGGTAATGGCTATAGTAGTTTTTCCATTCGCTATAATAATTCACTATTATATTGTCCATAGTAGTTTTTTCAGCTCAACAATATATTTTTTTCCGGCTGACCGTCTGATAAATCCGAAGCTAAGCTTAAGTGAGTTCAAATTAAATTTGACATGTCTATATTTTTTCTAGATGTTTGTCATCTACTATAAAGGGAATTTGCAGGACCAGAATTTTTGCCACTGAAATGCAATTGAAAATAAGGTGCCCAAAACTATAGGCTGACTATAGCTGTCTTCTGATAAGAGCCATCAGATTTGAGTACAAATAGAAGGCTGAGAAAGACTGGCGAACCATCGGGCGAATATGGACGAATCCATGGAAAACAAAGGGCTCTAGAACATCCTATAACCACTGGTAAACTAACATAGCTATTGAAAACCACCATTTTTAATGGGAAAACTCACTATAAATGGCCATTTTCAATAGCTATGTTAGTCTTATGTTCATCTCAGCCAGCCAGGGACTGGAAATCATGTTTTTTTTATTTTTTCATTTTTTTTCATTTTGATCATCATTTTTTTGGCTTGAAAATTATCATTTCCTTTTTATCCCCGTTAAGTTTTTTCATTATTTTTTCATTCCTGTTTTTCCTCCCTTTGGCATTTTCATTTTTCTTTCCTTTGCTTCGAAAATGGTCCTTGGTCCTTGGGAATTGCCACCAGAGGCTTTTTCTCGAACCCTTTTCGTCTGTTTTTTCGATTGCTTTTGCGCTTTAGCTATTTTTCTTTCCTATGCCTTTAAAATTGACCTGGGGAATTGCCAAAAGGAGCTTTTTCTCGAACCCTTTTCGTTTTTTTCTCATGTTGGCAATTTTTCCTTTCTGTGCCTTTAAAACTGACTTGGGGAATTGCCAAAAGGAGCTTTTTCTCGAACCCTTTTCGTTTTTTTTTCGTTTTGGTATTTTTTTCCTTTCTTTGCCTTTAAAACTGACCTGGGGAATTGCCAAAGGAGCTTTTTCTCGAACCCTTTTCATTTGCCTTTAAAACTGACCTGGGGAATTGCCAAAGGAGCTTTTTCTCGAACCCTTTTCATTTTTTTTCATTGTTTTTTTGTTTTTTCTTCGTTTTGGCATTTTTTTCCTTCCTTTGCCTTTAAAATTGACCTCGGGAATTGCCAAAAGGAGCTTTTTCTCGAACCCTTTTCATTTTTTTTCATTTTTTTCATGTTTTTTCGTTTTTTCTTCGTTTTGGTATTTTTTCCTTCCTTTTGCCTTTAAAATTGACCTAGGGAATTGCCAAAAAGGAGTTTTTTCTCGAACCCTTTTCATTTTTTTCATTTTTTTTTCGTTTTGGCATGTTTTCCTTCCTTCGCCTTTAAAATTGACCTAGGGAATTGCCAAAAGGAGCTTTTTCTCGAACCCTTTTCATTTTTTTTTCATTTTTTTTCGTTTTGGCATTTTTTCCTTCCTTCGACCTCGGAAATTGCCAAAAGCAGCTTTTTCTCGAACCCTTTTCATTTTTTTTCATTTTTTTTTCGTTTTGGCATTTTTTCCTTCCTTCGACCTCGGAAATTGCCAAAAGGAGCTTTTTCTCGAACCCTTTTCATTTTTTTTTCATTTTTTTTCGTTTTTTTTTCATTTTTTTTTTTTTTCATTTTTTCGTTTTTTTTTCATTTCCTTTTTCATTTTCATTTTTTTTTCGTTTTTTTTTCGTTTTTTTTTCATTTCATTTTTCATTTTCGTTTTTTTTCGTTTCCTTTTTCATTTCGTTTTTCATTTTCATTTTTTTTCGTCCTCGTTTTCATTTCATTTTTCATTTTCATTTTTTTTCGTTTTCCTTTTCATTACATTTTTAAATCTATTTTTTCGCGTTTGTTTTCATTTTTCGCGCAGTTTTAGGTATTTCTGACTTAATCAAAAACTTTATGTTTCTGATGTTGCTTCGATTCATTTTCGATGCTGAAGGACCACGCTCCTTGGAAAGCTGCGGCGAACCATCTCATGTTTTGTTGTTTCTCAGCTGGGCTTTGCGGCTTCCTTTCTGTTCCATTCAGCTCTTCGAATCGTGAAGAGCTAAGTGGTTTTGTCTGCGTGTTATACTCGCAAAGGTTGTTGTGATCACATGCTTGACTTTTCCTTGTCTCTTGCTACATGATCATCAACTTGCGTTTCAAATTCCAAAATTCTGCTGTAAATAGAGTTAGTTGACAATAAGAGTTAACCTGATGCGTACTTGTAACAGTCGTGAATTACGACCCCATAAGAATTGTGGTTGTGGCCGGAGCTTTTGCGTTTTCGACTTCGATGTTTTTCTTTGTGTATCTACTAATCTAGAAGGAACAAGTATGCACATGATACTATTAACTGCACATGAGGGAAACACGATAAACAAATGAGAATGACATTTCCGCATAATTGGGGAATGAAAAAAAATGAAAATGAAAATTTCACATGATCGGAGAATGATATGAAACAGGAAAAACAAATGAAAAACAAAATGAAAAAAAAATGAAAAAATAATTCCTTGGTCCGGACTCAGTCTGTGGCTGTAAGATTCTCATAATGTTAGTCATTACCAGAGTGTAACCACTGAGCATGTATCACCATGTATCACCAGCCAAACGCTGGATTCAAGACTAGGACAACTCACAACAGTCTCGCCATGAGCAAATACATAACTGGTTGGTGGTTTGAACCCCTCTGAAAAAATATGAAAGTCAATGGGAAGGATGACATCCCATATATATATATATTATGGAAAATAAAACATGTTCCAAACCACCAACCAGATAATATCTTGGTTGTTTCTCATATTAAATTGCCATAAAATCAGGTGGAGAATCATCAGCCCAGAGGCTGTTTAGTCCGCACCGTTCTTCGACCACGTCCGTACTGTGACCATGCGCAATGCATCCCCAAAAGCATGCATAGAACCGGTGCTCTATGCCAAGTAACCTCAAACAAATATCGAAGATGGATGTTTCATGGTGTTTCTAAACATTGTGACCCAAAATCGTATTGGTTCCTTCATAAAATGGGCACATGTCCAGATGATTTTTGGGTCCACCATAGGACAACTCCATATCTTGATGGTCTGGGGATATGATCAGCAGCAATCCTTTCCGCTGATGAAAGCGGGCAATGAACATGAACCTTTTTGCAAAGCGTCCGATTCCATCTTGATTCATCCTTTAAGATGTGTCTGTTTAAGTCTAAATGTTTTCCAGGGTGAACGACCCACCAAAAATTCAGGCATGTTCGTTTGAAGTTTTTTTCGAATGGCTCTGAGCATCCCACCCAAAAAAATGAATCACCAGCATGTCTATCTGGCGTAAACGGTTCTGGAAAAACTTACTGGTGCTTAGTAAGTAGGGAAATTTCGGGAATGCTCCACCATTTTTGACAACAACTATCAATAGTAATCCCAGCAACCCCCAACCCATCCAGCAACCCTACTAAGCATAGCAATGGCGAAAAAGACAACTCTTGGTTCGATGACTTTCCCATGACATTTTCCCATGGCAACTCTCCATTTTTCATGGGAAAAAAAACATGGGTTATGGCTGATACACGAAACTCTTATGTTTCATTGGAAAAAGAAAACACATGTTATTAAACAAAAAAAACTATAGATCTGTAGATGCTGATGGGTCAAAAATTTAAACTCAGGAAATATTTTAGTATTTATCAATATTTATCATTATTAATCATCCATTTTTAGGGGAAAAAAATAGCCTATTTTGATCCCCAGATTCTTGGGCCAAGGTACCCCAGTGCTGGGCGTTTGCGGTGGATACGGCGGCTGATGTGGAAGCACCTCACAGACCCGGAGATGACATGATGTGCCGACACTGGCGAAACTTTATGGGATCAATGTGACACATATATATATATATATACACATATGGGATTTATAAGGAAATCATATGGGATTTATAGGGGAAACATCTGGAACCAATATGACCATTGGAATTCGAATGGAATTTAAGACCAGTATGGCAGTTAAGCATTCAACATAGAGATTTCACCGCTATGAATCATGGAAACATTGCTGTAATAAACTACAAACACCTTCTGGTAATGACTAACAGTTTGCGAAATGAACAACCAGCATTAAAGTACTTAGGTCAATCATCGCACTAAAGGGCCATTGCACGCCATTGTACGCCATTTGTACATAGCCAAGTGTTGAGGGACCACTGTTTATCGGTAAACAGCAAAATGAACATGTTACTGGGATATCAAACCGTATCCGTTTATCTATTCTTTAGTGGCAGACTGGTAGTCAAAATCCTGAATTATTAGTAGAATATTACCCATGAACACTTGAAAACCAGAGATCTCCATAATACACCGAAGGCGTAGATTCATCCAGGTGTGTGCCACTTCTTCAATATGGAGGCGTGGAGAGTCGCCACTAGCCAACAATCCCCAGCACTGCAAGGCCTTGTGGCTGGTTGGTGTCTGAGCCACCCCCAACCAATTTTAAATATACAAAAGGTATCAAAAGGTCAATTGCGATCAGCATTGAAGAATCTTCGTTTAAGACATGGAAAACAAGAACCATTTGTTTGGAAACATGCTGAAACCACAACCGTCTTTGGCGGGCTATGCTTCCACAACCTCCCAGAGTTTCTGCACTCCAATTATCTCAGATCCCCTCCTGGCCAAGGAAGTTTGAGAAGTCTCGAAATTGATCACCTCAGTTGAAGCGTAGGATACTCATCTTTACCTCACAGAAA